TCTTTTAAACAAAAAAAAAAAAAAAAAAAAAAAAAAAAAAAAAAAAAAAAAATAAATAAATAAATAAATAAATAAATAAAATTAGAAAAAAAGTTACAAATAGAGTGCATGAAATATATAAAAGATACAAAAAGAGTACAGAAAGATCTCATACAGGATTACGGTTCGTGAGTTTGTATTAATTCTTCAAGTAGTATAAAATTAGTATATCGAGTTACGCGAACGGTGTACAATTACAAGCGAATGATATAGCATTACGTGCTTAGACGAGAGGTATGACAATTCACGGTTTGTTCGCAGAAAGAACGTGTCACATCTTCGTTTTATTATAATTCAGGTATATAGCATCGATCGATAGGCAGAGTTCAGGGAACCATGGATGCATAGTGAATCTACTTTGCATTCCTTCTGAATCGAATTTCAATTCGATTAGAGAGGAATCGCAAGCATGACAAGATTACAAATTACACAGAATTGACAATTAAAGAGGGGAGAGATATACAATTAACAGATATCTCAATATTTCTTTAAGATATTTTTTATCATCTTGTTTTTAATATTATATACAATTACCAAATATCGATATTTAATTGACACCTGAAGAAATAACAATTCACAGAAGAATTGAAACTTTCTTTTTACCTGAAGCGTTCCTATAACAGTTCTCCTCGCTTTCTGAAAAATATCTTCATCGGACATGCTCGGATTATCCTGTTGTATTCTAGCAGCGACAACATTGTGCCAGCGATAAAACAGTATCCCAAGAGCCAACAACGGTGGATGCTGATTCGTTCGTGGATCTCCGAGAACTGCAATAGATTGAAATTGTTTTTCACCGTTAAGAAAATTACAAAAATCCTCACGTACGGAGATAAGAGAAAAATAAATAAACGAACTTACGATAAAGACGTTCTGGACTGAGCATTCTCATAACGTGTGGAACAGCATGATTGAAAAGCGGTGCACGCATGGTGTTTCTCACAGGAAACTTCCTGGTGGGTTCCATGAGGAGGCTGCCGTTTTTGAAGGATCTCATCGTGTTCGCCCATGCTTCGCTGCTCGAATAAATGAAGCTACCGTCGATCCAGCTCGTAACTTTGTTTATCTGCAACCTCACGTATTCAGAGCTACTTTTCACCACTTATCTCCCATTATATCAACGATCATCGCTAATTGGAAGCGATTCCGTGGAATCGTTTAATGTCAGATCGTTAAAGAGAAAGAGAATTTTCGAAAAGAAACAGATTTCCTCGGGTTTAATTGAATTAAAAGGTTCTCGGTAGAAGCGAGAAACTTTTTCTTGTGAAAATATTCGATACGGTTTACTTGTTAGGCGGTGTAATTACGATACACAGCGAGGAGAAGCGTAAGAAACAGCTCGCGTTCCTCTTAATCACCGTCACTTTCCCCCGTCGTTAATGACGATCGTTGTAATTTGTGGGAAGACTTTTTAAGGGAGATCTTTCCAACGAGTTTGTCGTGTTTTATATTTAAAACACCACTTCCTAGTGTAACAATTCAACGGATAAATTAATCGAATGTACATTTAACACGAAGATAAATAAGTCAAGTGGAATATTTAGGTTAGAAGAATCGGAAGATCAAGGATAATTCATAATTCTCAATTTACAATGATAGGAAAATCTCGATCAGATTTGAAATAAAAACGAGTAAGAATCTCTTTCTTCGACCTTCCAAGAGAATCGTCCTGCGTGACGTGAAATTCAGGTCCAAAAATTTTGCAACGGTTCTAAAAATACCGACAAGGACGCGCCGATCAGAATGAAGGGCAAGAATGCGAGTCGTTTTGGCCCCACCCTGCGACCAGCCGAAACGAAGGAGAGAGAAAAATCGGTGGGGAAAGCTGAGAAATTATTATACATAAAGTTCGGTGCATCCTCGGGAGAACTTTCGTGTCTGGGAGCTTCTGCCGCGCTAATTCAACGAACTTAAGAGGGGAAGTCCAATTTGGTCAGCCAGAAAAATAAGGGATCTTTAATTTTTTCTTTTACTAAACCAGTAGAAATTTAACACTTCTCTTTCGAGAGAAAGGAGCATCCTCAGAGAAGGATTAAAAAATCTGTTCGCTGCACTTTTTAATATTGGTACACCTGGTGCACCCTAGCCAAAGTGACAAAGTGATTTGAAAGCAAAAGAGTGGAAATTTCTTTTTCGAAGCTCAATGCAAACGAAGCTTTACATGTAAAAAATAAAATTCTGCAATTTCGACTTATTTTTTCAAGGGGAATCACCCTCTATAATTAAAAAAAGAAGAAGAAATGAATTTGGGTCAGTTTGGCTCTAAATCACCAAATGTTTCCTTTTCATTCGTAACTATAGATATTTCAACTGCTCTCTATCTTATTTCCTGTACAAATCGACAATCGGTACTCGTAAAGAAAAAAAGGCAGATAGATAAATAAATTACCTGTTCACGAGGGCTATTAGGGCTGCGTCCAGTTCGACGATCGTAATCCGCCCGACGGAAGGGAATGTACTTGTTACCTTGGCACTCCTTGTCGAAAACCGGATCGCATTTGTCCACGTCGATTCGATGGTACTCTATGGGGCAGCCACTTTCGCTGGCCATGATTATCTCCGACGTGACCAGTTGCCCTGAAATCGTTTTGGTCCGTGTGGCCGGATGAAGAGGCACACTTGAGGTGTTCCGTTCACTTCCATCGAGGAAGCAAAGAGTTCAACGAAGCTCACGACCGGTTCTCGAAGGATCACTTTTTCAAAACCAGGTTCACGACGCGCCACACGCCGCGACGCGACGGAAGCGGCCGCGACACGAAAACCACACGGACGGAATTCAGGGGGACTGTCCCAGTTTTTACTTTCCGCCTCCTTCGAGAAGCGGATGCCGCTTTCCTTGCCCTGTTTTCGGGCCAGTTTAACAACGCTTGACATATTTCTTTTCCGAGAGAAGAAAGTAAAGAACTCGGAATCGTGAAATTTTGTTTGGATCATTTGGGTATTGATTCTTTTATTTAGATTAGACTAATTTCGATGGTTGATTATTGGTCAAATTTCGGATTTCTAACGTATCATTTCTCATACTTTCGAGAGATAATGAGAAACTTGAGAGAATCGTTTGTGCTACTAGAGAATGGCATACTTTTTAGAGAGATGAAAGTAAAGAACGTGGAATTGTGAAATTTAGGATCATTTGGGCATTGACTTTTTATTTAGATTAGATCAACTTTGATGGTTGATTATTGGTCAAATTTCTCATAGTTTCGAGAGATAATACGAGAACTGTGATAATTGAGAACTAGTTCCTAGGGAATTTTGGTTTCTAACGTTAAACTAGGTTAGCTTCGATACTTCAATCTCGACGAAATTTTGATATTTACTTGAAATTTACTTTTCGAATTAACGAAATTTCACATTTCACGAGGAAGGAATGAAAATTTCATATTAAACTAGATCCTATTACAAAATACCCTATAAAGTGTGCGTTACTCAATGCTCCTTTCACCCTTTGATATTTCCTCCACTTTCAACTAGGCAATTCGACACACAGCTTCCCAATTATTCGGAACAGCCTGTGCCAGAATAGACAGTGTCTGTAACACGGAATATTTTACCGTGAAAAGTGGATCAAAAAGTTCCCTTACACCTCGTGCTACTCGTTTCTATTCCGACACCCGGACACCTTGCCGTTTGCGCAACAACGTGATACAGATATTCGAATGCGTGCACCGTCAGCCACGGTAATTCCCCCCTTGTCTCGTAATCCTGCGCATACTGTTCCGCCATTATACATCTGATTCATTGCAACTATTTCTGAATGAATGTTTCCTTGGAGAAAATCCGTGTGTCATTCTTTGCTCGATTTCTCCGCCGAGGAAAGAATTTACGCTTCTTCGGTTTTTTCGAACGGTGATTACCGTTGTTTTTCGCTTTCTTCATGCCGAAATGTTAACGGCTCGATATCCTCTTTACGGGTTTCTTCAACTTTTATGTGGGTCGAATTATCAATGTTAATGCAGAGATCTCGTAAAATCGTCTCTTTTTCTTTCTTTTTTTCAGACTCTTGAAGGAATGTGTCGTAAGAACGAGAGGATAGAGAGTGAGATGCATTAAAGTGGAGATTTGGGGATTATTTTGTGAGAATTTGTTAGTAATTTTTGTGAAATATCGATGATCGTTTGTTGTCGAAAGGGCAGGTGTCTAATTTTTTGGAAAGTATCCGATGGACTTGCTACCTTTCAAAAGTACACTTTGTGGGGAGAGAAAAATTGCCTCTTTACATACTGATAATTCATACTAAGTCGTAATATAGGAAATAAAGAATTTTTGTACTAAATTAAGAATAATAAAATTAAAAATTTGAAATTTAAAATTTAAAACTTAAAATTTTTAATTTGAAATTTAATTTTTGAAAAATCATGCATACTGTCTCACTATGCTTCTAAAATGTGATTGTTCTCTTCTAACAGCTGACGATTTAATTATTTTAAACAGAGCTTCAGAGGTATTAGTGTATATTCTTACCAAAAAAGGCGAATAAAGCTGTTCTGTTCTTCACAGATGGTAGACCATCGTCACCCTGCATGAACAATTGACTAAGCTTCCTTGGAGAAGGCCTATCCTGGCCAGCAAGCATATAGACTCCATCGGAATACGCTGCTGGCATCTTTCGTATCAGCCTGCTGTCTACGGAGGTATGAACCGTGTTAAGATTCACTTGATAATAATTATTCTTCTTAAAACATCGTCGATAAGCAGTTTCGTTAAATCTCTCTCTCTCAAAAAATTCTTTTTCTAAATTTCGAAATTTTTTAAGAATTATTTGAAATTTAAAAAAAAAAATAAATTTCTGCTTTATACTTCGTGCTAATTGGATATTACCGAAGTGTCGCTGAACAATAGAACGTAATTAAATATTTACCATTCTATTCTTACTACCTTTAATACGAAGAATAAACTAGAGTGAAATGTTTGAACTGCCTATTAGTGTCTTATCACGAAACTAAATATGTGGACAGAAAGCCTGCTGGAATAAGACACCGTTCAATTTGAAGGCCTTTCTGTAAAACGGAAGCATTGAGTTATAGAATAGATTAGTGCAAGAAAAAATCGAATAAAGATAAAATTCACAAAGTCAAGAAAAATACCTTTTTTCTTCTAATTTTTTTTTTAATTATATAGATTGACGTTTTTTTATATATTTCCAGGTATTAATAGTTTCGTAGCATAATAAAAACATTTCGTGTAATTATTCACCAACAATAAGTGGATTTTTATACAATTTGGTCCAAATTATAAAAATTCACCCTATCAATGAGAAAAAATATGTTTGCATATTAATAATACTAAATTCTACGTTGATATGTAGATTTTAAGCAGTTAAAATATCTTCTTAACAGTGTTTTTATTAATTTTTCAAAAGTGTATTTTTAGCTGCCTCCATCTTGCAGCAAAGTATTCAATTATCGACGAGACAGAAAATTGAGGCAAAAATAAAACGCACATTTGGTGTGTAAAATAAGATTAAAGACGCTTTCGAGATGCAAAAAGTGGTAGATTCAATTTACAGCTCGATGTTCCTAATCTAACAAATAAAAAAACTCCATGCTCTCGCATAATTTTACGACAGAAGTTTGTTTCATACATTTTTATAAACGTACGCTTATTTTACCAGTTGATCATTAGCGTTTCACGGTTTCATCGTTTCGCACGTGTTAAGGAAATTGATAGAAAAGCAACAATTTTCATGTTTAAAGAACCAGAACATTTCTGTCGGCAGAGCTGATTGCGTCTTTCACGCCGCTGAACTTTTTTACCGCTCGTTTTATACGGCCGTATTGAAACAAAATAGCGACTTTTTTCACCTTTCACTCTACACGCCATTGGCTTGCGCGCCATTGCAATTCGAGACGCATCACAATGTCAAGAAAAATATTCGCGACAATTTGCCGCGATCGATAGTTGCTCTGTTCAATTCCATTTGAACAGTGGTAATTATCGTTTCACGTGTAAACGTAAGAATTTGAGAATTCACCGACTGTTTCGTTCAATTTTACATTTCTGTCGCTAATACTGGGTACATAGAAACGCTACCGGTGACTTCTCAATTTTTCGAGAAATTTTAGAGTGCATGGTAACAAGGTACATTGCAATATTTAAAATATTCAACTTCTGCTTTCATTTTTATAGAATTTTATATTGCAATTTTCATATCCTATTTTCATTATCCTGTTCTGATTCACACAAGTCTAACTGTGTCTAAAATAACTGTTTAGAGTTGTTTAAAGTACTTGCCGATCGATCCCCAATCCGGATGAGCCAGATTGTTGTACCATCCATCGTACCTCTGTTTATCCGCATAGCTGTGCACCACTCCTGTAACGAACAATAAGCACATGTTTTCTAAATTGAAACCAGCAACACATTTTACTAAGCGCGAAATCGCGATTTCCATCGATAATGATCGATTATCTTCGTCGAGATATTTTTATAAATCGAAAGTGTACGACGTCACTAGAGGGTTCAAGAATCGTCCTAGTTTCATAGTCATTAACCCTTTAAGGATGTGAATTTATAAAAAAAAAACTATAAACGCAACCAATAGATTCATATTTTTGAGCAATAAAAATAGTTAACGTAACCATGAACTGGTCTAAGTACATTCGAAGAAAATATAATTTCGATTTGATTTAGTTTAAGAAAATGATTAAACTTGTGATCTAGTTAGAAACTGCATAAGTAATTAGTACCTTGACATGGTTATGGGTTAATAATTATGCAAAGTCTTCTGTGATATTTTTTGAATAATAATAACCTCATCATCCATTTATCCTGCGAAGGGTTAATAAATAAAAACCAATTCAAAAAATTAGTGTATTCCTTTTTATTCATTTCTTTCCTGACATACGAACTATCACTACCTTTGTATTCTCGATGTTAGTGTTCTAGGGTTAATTACAGGAACCAATAGAATGGTTTTACGAACGATGAATTACCAGTCACGGATCTACGAATCGTTTCTCAGAAGAAACTTTCGAAAACGATCCACGCAAAATCTGTCGTGATCGTTTTCTTGGAACGATCGATCGGTTCGTTAGCTCCATTGTATCTCGGATAAATGATAATCGTTTAGAGAATCGACTATGCACATAAATGAATTGCAAGATACGGTGGAGATCGCTACTAGGATATGTGAAGAGATCCGGCTAACAATTTTCAATTTACGACTGAGTTCTGCGTTCAACTGAATCGTTTAATAGGCAAAGATTTGAACTTGAATCTCCCATAATTAATTAGCAAAGCTATAAAAATACAGACAATCGACATACCAAAACATGAAACAGTTATCTTCAACCCGATCTTCTTATTCCAAACTTCACCAGAAAGTACGAAAAATTCTTTCCTTTATATTCCAAATGATTCACCAAATACATATATTAACGAAACCAATAAATTCAATCAAACATACCACTCTCAACTATATCTCGACTGCACCCACTCCGCGAACACGTACCTCATCGCACAAACGCACTGTACCCATAACTTGACATCATTACCAGACAATCATTACCAATCGACCTCAATATCGAATTAAAATTCCTCCAGCGGCATATTTGCATTCGATTTCTAAATCCAATCAACCGCCACTTCTATTTAAAAAAACAAACAAAAAAAAAACAATCTACAAGCGGAAAAAACCATAGTGGAAATCTCTCCGAAGCATCATTGCTCCGTATTTTCACTTTCGGTACACTTTCGTCCGGCTCGTTCGAGCGGATAACGGAATCGCGCGGCGCGTGCATATAACAGGCGTACCGGTTCCAACAGGCAGGACGATCCAAAGCAACCAGGTGAGCAGGTAGATCCACGGTGAATCTGGTCTGGGTGGTCGTCGTCGTCGCGTCATTGTCAGCACAACATCTCTTTCAACGATCTATCTTATCGCCACTTCCTATCCTCGCACAATCCTTACACTACCGTTACAACGTTCGACCCGTTCGGTTCAGTGTCTACCGCGTGAATGCATGCACCGGTATAGTGTCTTCTGGATTGGTGGAAGGAATACGGTGGAAAAGAGATACAACACGCGACGGAGATGAGCGTGAAATTCCGAACCGAAAAAACCTCTTTGCTAAAGGGTAGCGGAGGTGGGGAGAAAAAAAAAGGAGAACGAGACACTGCCACGGAGAGGACGCGAACACAACACGTGCGACACGGCACCGAAAGAAAAAGAATCGAGACCCGTTCGCTGGCCGAGGGTATGCCACCTCGTGCGCCGCGCCATGATTACCCCCACTACGAGGACATTGGAGGGAACGGTGAGCGAGGGTATGTCTCATACTCGAGTGGTTTGGGCCAAGAGCGCTCGGTTGTTGCCTGTACAACCGTTCTTGGCTACGCGGTGAAAGTCGCCGGCCTATTTGTTTCGTTACTGCGAACGCGCCTGTGTCTATTCACTTCTCTCTCTCTCTTTTTTCCCCTCTTCACCAGTACATCAAACCGTCACTGTTCAACCTGTTGCTTCTCGCCGCTCCTTCATTCGCGTCTGCGCGTCCTCGACGTCTCACCACCTCTCCTCTTGGTGTCGTTCACCGTGTACATCGCGACGTACCAACGACGACGTCACCTCAGGCACAGGCCTAGTTTTCGAGTACGCGGCACCGATTATCCAAGGCGAAACCTCTCTCGGTTCCCCGACCTGAGCTTTCAAGGTCGACGGCTGACGAGCCTGCTACGGACACCGCTGCAGAACATCCTGGCCGGCGACGGACATGCGTTCCGCGTTCTGTTGCTCTGGATTCCGGACGCTGGAACCGCGGCGAGTATAGTGGAGGATACGACGCGTAACCTTGACACGAGGATATTGCTCATGCAAATAACTTGGATAGTATTCGAGCTTCACCTTTCGTGAATTTTTTGTGATGGTTTCTGGTGGTGATGGGGTAAGGTTAGAATGATCCTTTGTGGTAGTTTGAATGTCGTATTGGTTGGTTTACAGAAGAGAAAGAATCTTGGCTAGCTGTTGGTTAGATTAGGCATTTTTACAATATTTTTGTATGAAAATATTACTTCTTTTTGATAAGAGTGTTATAGAACTCCGGAAGATATATTCTTCGATGTAAAATTATACGTTCGGAACAAACGTATGCTCGTTTTCTATTCTTTGCATCATATCTAATGTAACAGGTGTTTCGCTTTACCAGTGGAAGAGCAAACGCAATATCTCGATGATATTACATAGTCAATATATTCTTTGTTCGCCTATGGGAACAAATAATAGTATGAGATGTTTTCTAATTTGCAGTTTGCTCAAAATTGGACAGGGAGAATGAGGTTAAGTCAACGTGATGTCTTTAATGTTGAAGCACGATGCGAAGTTTTGTAATCTTGTTAGTGGTTGCACTTTGAATAATGAAGTTTGAAGTATTTGAAAATTTTGAAAAGATAAATATAAGCATAGACGTTCTCTAAAGAAGCGCAGAGTGAGTCAATCCATGCAGAGATCTCGGCTCCACCGGGTGATTTTTATCGCCCTTGGCACGAATCTGCAAAGGCGATTGCATTTCGAGATCAAACAGGCATACTCCTTATTGAGAGTATATGTCATGCTAAGCACCTATCCCTTCCAGAAAGCTCTTCATCTTTTCTATAATGAATCACAGTCCGTTTGCCAACGTTCCTTAAAGTTACACGCGATCACTGAGAATTTGCATGTCCACTTAACCTAACCTAAAATTAAAAATCAACACGCCATCATATCTACAAGGGAATCGAATAATCAATGACAAGTGCAACGACAGTTACAACAAAAAAATTCTTGCATCTGTATTTTAATTTAAGTCATTGACATTCTCTAACTCGCAGAGTGAATATCATGGGTCTGTATGTACAGAGAACATTTGACATCCTGATTTGATGCAGCCAAACTACACCAAAAGATACAACGACGTAATTCACCGTTTCACAACTTCACGTGTTTAACGAGGAAAAATCATATACATCATCGCATACACTCAGGTCGTTCCACATAAGGGTCGTTTTCATTGTTTCTTTTTCATAATGTATCGTTCGACGTTTTCGACGGTAACTTTATCACGTATTCTTTCATTCGATTCGTTTGAATTTTTTCTTTCTATTCATTTCTTTGAAATGAAATGAATACTTCGTGTTACACCGGAAAAATCCGAGGAAAATTCGAAGTAGAATCACATTTTAAATCGAAGCTCTTGATCTTCCGCGTTCCTCCCTCCAACGATGACGTTCTTTCTACAAACATCTGGTTCGTTCGCTCATTTGCTGCCTCTTTGTTACATGCACATGCACATTTAAGTCATGAATCTACGATCCTTCTGGCATTTCCAGAATTCGCAATATTCGCGCGACAATTGATAAAACACGTGACGGTCTCAGCTGTCCCGATTTCCTAACCTATTGACTCACTAAAGGAGTTTCAATTTCTAATTCGAAACCACTGAAACTTAGTTTCTATCTTCGTGAGTCTATCCAGACAGGACGAACGTGCATAAGATTAACTCGAGGATTCTCTTGCGCCATTCCTCGAGACGCAATACCGATGGTCGTAAATCATTTTTTGCAGAATCGCAACAGGTACGATTATTCCTCGTGGTAACAATGAGATCACGGTTGTCCGTGTTCTGCCAGCTGACGCATCGGTCGCGCGTAATTGCCTGGATCCGTACATCGAACAAAAGGTTTTGCAAGAGTGCGTCGCAAAAGGTTTCTTTGCCGTTGCAATTCGGAAACCTTCGTTACGCTAAGGTTAAGCGTGAAACGAAACGAAACGCTCTTGGTTCGATGGTAAAACACGTGGCTCAAAATGATTAGAGGATTAAGTCAACGTTTCCAGAGAGACAGTTACAGAGTAGCCAAGCATTAAGGAGGAATTCCATAATGTTAAATGTTACAAAGCGTTTCGCAATGTATCAACGTTTCTCTGATCTCGTCGATTGGGAAATCCCCCTAATCAGTTTAAACAGTATGGCGTGTTTAAAAAAAGGAAAGAAAGAACATTCTGAAGATACGTTTCGTGTAAAAGACAGCACCGTTCGCGATATAAATTAATATTTCTACGTATAATTCGTAACAGTGAGCGACGTTGTTACGTGTAAATAACATAAATAACTCCCACGATGACGCGTTACGAGCGAGGCACGATATGCTCTCTATATAGGAGTAAGGGCCAAAGGATGTAACCTCAAAATCTAATGTAAGGGTGTCTCACTCTTAATAGACATCTAAATTATTTCCGCTGCTATTTAAAGTAAAAATAGTAAATGTTACATGCATATATTTGCTCAAAACTCAGCAGCAGGTGTTAGTTCTTCAATCAGATTCTAGTTTTTAGACGATTGGAGAATTGTACTCCAAATAACCAGCTATATAAAAATTGCATGTTACCGTGTCCACAATAGAGTAAACTCTTGTTGGAAGAGAAGCAACAAAGTTTCTTCTTCATCCGGAACCAATCACGTAACAACGTCGCTCCAGGCTGTCACCTTCGAGCAATCTCTCGCAGCCTCTACCGACAGCATTCGTCTCTTTTTTTATTATAGCACAGTCCACGCTGTGTTCTGTGAGTGTGTTCAAGTACAAATGATCTTGTTCACGATCTAGAGTCCATACGCACAGAACCGACCAACGTGGACGAAGGAATCGAAAAGGTGAAACATCATTTCGAGGTCGATCCAGGATAATAATAGACAACTGCTGGTGCTGGAAGCTGCCAATGCGCCGCGTGAAGCTCGATCAATTGTAAGAGAGTCTTTCTAACTGACGGTAGTATCGTGTCTTCCGCAAGGAAAGCGTCTCTCAGGCTTCCAAGCAATTGCTGTAACTGAGCTGGTAATTCAGTGTCCAGGTCCTTACCAATGCATGTTAGAATGAAGAACAGGCAGTCCGTCTGTAAAGTGAAGAAAGAAGACTATTGATATTAATTACTTGAGCTTAATTCTTCGACTGTTGGACACTCGAAACTGAAGTTTGTCAGCATTAACACCATTCTAAACCCACCTCTGCTAAGGAATTCACAACTGGAGGCTGTAAGCAATCTTGACAGCACTTCCAAAGCAACGTGAGGAGAACACGTCCGGGGGGAACGCCCTCTTGTTGTGTCTTCAACTGAAGCTGCCTTCGCTTTAACTGTAACCATGATCATGCATATGTATGAAGACGGATGCGTACCGTCGATGGTTTTGATTCATGATTTGACAAAAAATTGACTAATTCGACGAAGCACCAACGTTGCGGAATTTAATGATCCGGTTACAGAATCAATTAAAAGTCGGCAAACGTTAACATAAAGTTCCGTGAATCAAAAACTGTTTGTAGTAAAAACTACATCCGCATGAAGTTGTTCTTCTTTCGTACCTGGCAATACATCTCATTCAAGAACGTCATGAAGGCGGAATAACGATGGTAACTGGACCCGTCGTATAGTATCTTCACTCTGTCTTGATACCACTGTTGACAGGTGTTCAACAAGGATTCCAAGAAGGTTTCTTTGGTTTCTTTCTGCATTTAATAACATTTTATGACAACTTGATTTCATGTATCAAATTTTCGCCAGCATCGCACGTGGAAAGAGGAAGAGAGAGAGATATTAGTGAACGAGGAAGTGATGTGAACCGCAAGGGACTATAATGTGACCCGCAGACGATCAGTAATATTATCAGTACTGACAAATATTGACAATATTATTCATCGTGTGCGGTCAATATTGAAGGAAGGATTGATATTGAGGTTGAAGTACTCGTCAATAAATTTCTAGATATTTTGAGATAAAGATTTTGGGTAGAGAGTCGAAGTTTTCCTCTGTGAGGATACGAGATTCATTTCAATTGAATTACGAATGAATCGTAATAGTAACCTCTATAATTGTGATGCAAATTTTCGCCGCTGGTTCCGCGTATTTTCGGTTCTCGACGACCCTCTCCAAAATGTGTCGAACCAGTTCCATTAAAGCTCGAGCATTCAACAAATTTGGATCTGAATAAAGAAAATGATCGTGATTAATATGTGTTTAAGGTGTAAGATTTTTGTTACGACTTTGTATTATTACCTTCGATGGCTCTGAGAAGCGTGTCCTGGATCGCCGACGGGAATTTTCCCAATTCAGAGGCGTCTGAAATATTCACCGCCTTCGCAGCCAGCACGTCGGCCGCGTTCAGGCTCTTCGATCGTTTCAGACCATAAGTAGAGACGAAGGATAACGATTTCGTGAGCCTGCCGGGTTTCATCGTGTTCGTTTTGACTTCGTTTTGATCCATGTTGAAATGGACCCTGCCCGAGCCCTGTTTCACAAAACGCATTCAATATACCTTACTTTCACGTTCATCCTACGCGCTCTTGCATTCCATTCTCTATGTTGTTTTACAGGTGTTAAAACGTTTAGACATTCACAACAAGAATGACGCATTACTCATTCAATAAATTTAAACTTCTTTCTCATCGAGTAACCAAAAGAATTCCTGCGGTTTTATTAAATGGTAAAACGACGAACTTTTTTTCATTACCTGATAAAAAGAGTATACCAATATTTAGATACTGTATTCTCTCTCCTTTTTATAATTCTCTTGTATCTCTTTTTTTTTTTTAATCAAAAATTCCACTTTCTTCTCTGCATCATTTATCATTGTCCCGTCACTCGAAAATTCTTAACTTTCTTCTTTTTACATACTCTTCGTATTTCTTTTCTTTTCCAAACAAAAAAAAAACATTTCTCCCTATCGTTTATTCCTGTTCGGTCTTAATGAAAAAAAAGTTCTCATTACATGTAAGATATTTCCACTGGACGCCGAGGTATCGAGCGGATGTGACTGTCGTAGCGCTGAGCCTGCCGAATGATGCCCGCTGTGACGTGACGTTTGATGATGTTGCTGGTGAAGCGTGTGCTGCATCTGTTGCTGTTGCTGAGGCGCGTAAAGATACCGATGCACGTTGCCGCTTGACTTGCTGTGCTGCAGATAATACGAAGATCGCTCTGAAGCATTCGTCCGAGACCTGGATCAGGATCATTAAATACCGATCACTTAAATGGAAAGTAAAACGTTAAGCTGAAATTATTGTCTCTTTTTATCGTCCACGCTCGTATCGCATTTATCCAACCAGGCTTGTTTGTACAACTGACGTAATACCTTTTAACGCCGTAAGGATTAACAGTTTATCAAAACGCCGTTGCAACACACTGACATAATCCTGCACTCTTTCATCTTTCACTTCACACGTTGATTCGAATACTAATCTATAACATCAGGTTTTACGCAACGAGCAACGAAAAATGAATCTTGTTTCGAAATCACTTTCGGCTCCTCTTACTTCTAAGTAGAAAGGCGTATAGGTATGGTTTCGATAGTGTCATCGTGATATACAAATTGAGATATTAATAATAAAAAAAAGAAACAATAATTCTTCTCTTAAAAATTTTTCGTCAAAATTTGTAAGTTTCTTCTTTGAATCTATGAAAATTTTTTTATTTATTTACCCTATAATCGTTGATAATTTTTAAAATAAATTTTCCACACAAACGTATTAATTTAGGTTATAATAATTTTTTTATACGTGTAAAAATAACGTTCTCCTTTACTTACACATTCTTCATCCTATTGTATCGAAATGAAGTTTCTTTGAAACGTGTCCGATTTAAAAAATTTCTTTTCGTAAAGAACTACCACTCTTACCAGTGTCTCACGATGTCTTTCTAGACCTTCCAGAAAGCGTTCTCAATACGTCAACTATTTCGTAAGTAGTTTATACTCACTTAGAAGGATGCGAATCGTTCTGCTTCATAGTGAACTCCTTAGCATGTACGTTTAAACGCGGATTAGTGGCGTTCGCCGTGGTTCCTTCCGTTCTTCCACCTAAAAAGTAACATAAACAGTCAGACATATTTTTTTAAATCTTCATTTTGCATATTTTCATTCTAAAATTATTAGATCGTGCAGTAATAAATATTCGCAAATTTGAATTTTCCAAATTCTTGTTAAATATCTGTTGAGCAATCTGAAGGATCTAAGAGATCTCTTGTTAGACGCAAACTAACATAAACGTGACATTTCAATTTATTATAAATTGTATTACACAAATTGTTATTAATTGAAATTATATCACACGACCTAATGTAAAATACAAACCTGGCGGTCGGTAAATTTCCAACGAAGGCTTGCTTTTTAACGTGGTCACGTTATTATTATTGTTATTACTGCTATTATTATTATTGTTATTATTTCCTTTCTGAAGAACCGCATCCCTCATCTGCAAGATCGAACGATAAATCAATCTAACAAGTGGCCGCCGTTCAAAACGTGTCAACAATTGTTTATACATGTATATATGCATATAAACGTTCTAACTTTGATTCACTAATAATAGAAGGACAGCTATACTTTGAATCAAAATTTCTCTAAATACGAGAACCATGTGTACGCGTTGCTATATCTATCCCTGCAAAAGCTGTATCAGAGAGGCAACTGAACTCTGACAACGATCGAGGAAAAATCTCTCACAAGTTTAACACGTTCACTGTCCGCTGAATCACATGTCGGCTGCTTAGCATCGATAGTGGAATAATAGAAGAAACAAATTTTACAGGAGAAACAGCTGTAAAATTTGTAATTCGTATTCATACTACTTGGACAGTGGACGTGTTAATCCTCAAGTGCCTGAATGAACACTTTCGACCCGTTAAACTTTCAATTAACCTGTATGTACAATTTTTAAGTAACTATAAACTAAGTACAATTCTTTCTCTTAATATCATCTCCTAAATCCATCTTCCGTTATTCTCCACAGACACCTAACAGATCCAAAAACCTAAATCTACATTCGACAACGTGCAGAAGATCCCCATCGATCTGAAAAATCCTCTACCGTGATATCCTCATTTTCCCAAAGAAAACAAAAAATACGAAAACTGGTGCACGCAACAAAGAGAGCTGAACGAGACGAGAGACGCAGTTTCGGCGTAGGAGAGACGCAGTACCGGAACACAACGAGGGAGACTCACAGTGGAAAGCGTGCGAGAATCATCGTTTCCAAGGGCGTCGATAGAGCGTTGGATGGAAATCCTGGTCGCAGTAGGGTGTCAGTGGAGAGCGGTAACGCGGTGGTGGTGGGCCGGCGACACAGCAATCTTACCGTCCACTTATGCGACACGTGCTACAGGAGAATCTATCGCGGTGTACGCGTTTTTCACGTCGAATTTTCTTCCAGCTTTTTCCGCGTTGTCGCTCGGCCGCGCGTTACAGCCGACTCCGATGACTGTCGACTAATAATAGACAGCACCGCCACGAGCGAGCAACCGAGCGAGCGAAACGAACCAACGAATATACAGCCACACGATACACGACGAGCTTACATGCGTATTAATGCCGCGCTGCACCGTGCTAACAGTGGACTGAAATATCCGACGAGAGTCATCCTCGGTTGTCTCGGGCGAAACACGCTTTTAGGGTAGATCCGAAAATTGCCGAACGCGTCCAAACGATTTCTTCTCTCGATCACACACAGCTTTTTCAATTCCTTTTTCCCACGGTGGTAGAAAGTTGTCTGAGGAGAAAGAATCAGTGTGGCGAATTAACAGCGATAAAAAAAAACACTGTACAGATCTGCGGAGATGTTAGAGGAAACGATTTTTTTTATTTTACCCGCTTTTTTTTTTATTTTCTTTTCTCTTTATTTCTCTCTTCTGGAATGAACGACGACGATGATGGTGACGATGTTGCAGGAATTCGAGAATCCTCGTGGTACGTTTCGTCGTCGCGAAGCCAAAGTAGCTCGAATAGTAGGTGCTTTCTTAGAATCAGCTCCGTTGGCGCCAGCTAGAATTTTTTATCCGAAGTGGACGCAGAATGCGTGCTATCTCTCGCGACAGCGACTGACTGATATTTGGTTCGACGACAAACATCTCTTTATTCGGAGGTTACAGATGAGGTCTTCGAATTTTTAATTCTTTTTTTTTTTATTATTTCGAAGAGATTCTTGAAGATGCGAAGAGAAATTTTATTTTAGTTCGACTTGCGCATATTTTTGATTCTGGTTTATATTGTTGGGTGCAGAATACAGTTAGAGAAAGTAGTAATGGTAGTATTATGCACGGACAGCGGTAAAACCCTTGACGGTACTACTAGCAACAGAATTGGACGCTGGCTTTGATGAAATATGAGGTCGTGACGATGAACCGAAGTACCAACGAGATAATATGCAACCTAAAATATATTTTCCCATATTTTCAAGCTCCTGCGTTTTCTTCGAATTAAGTATTTTCCCCCTTTTTTTCAATTAACCTATTAATCAGAGAAGACGAGTTAACTCGTCATTGGTTAGCCAATGCTTAGAGCACAATAGTTGATTAAATATTCATATTTGTAAGAAGCAAGATGAAGTAATTGCTTACAATTTGAAAGATTCTATTTCTATTTGAGATATGAACTCAGCTAAGAGGTTAAAAAGGTTGTAAAATATACAATATGTAACAAAAGCTCCTCCTAAACTCAGATTGCAAAAAAGTTTTATTTAATTACCACAATATTTTTTTCCTTAATTCCTACATTATTTTCAACGTTTCGTTTCCTGGCAGTTAGGACGCACGAGAAATTGTTCATACTTGACGCGTAATAAGAAAATGTAATTAATGTCTGCGAAAAGTGGAATCGAAAACGTGCGACACGTTTTGGCTTCGATTCCATTTCCGTTTGCGTCTGAAATATCTATGACTAACACAGTATCTCGCAAATGTATTCATCGTTCTTAAGAAGTTTACCGTATGCTGTCCTTCGTTTTACTTTGAGATTCAAAGCGTTTTCATCTTGTTCCCGTTCTCGTTTAATTAACTCACCTTCATTGTTTCTTCTTTCGCGTGAGGCAAGCGTGCGACGCGCACCATCTTGGAGGGCAATTATTTGATTACAACGGTCGAAGAAATCAACGAACTTCAGCACCAATTACACTATATATTCCAACAGATACACCTTTATTGTAACACATTTTATATAATGTTCGAAATAAACGAAGAAATATTCACAAATTTGTGTTTTCACGCATTTATGTTTTCAACCCGTTGCATTTTCAAACTTTTTTCAATTCACAATTTTCTATTCAACCAATAAAAATCAATATTACATTCAATATGGACATTCGATCTTGATTATCGATAATGCAACATCGCAGTTGAAATTGTTTTAATTAGTTAGAATTTTCTACTAACCTTTATTGCGTAACATCGCGGAATAAGAGAAATTCGTTGGAGTTACGTCGAATTTGAAAAATATTTTCGAAATATATCGTGGATTCGTTGAAAAACTTCGGGATAATCGTTCGTTCGGTCGCAATTTCGTTTTACCGGCGTAGAGGACCGGAAGTGAGCCGCGCGACTGACGTCGTTCTCGATGCTGGCACTCGATCTACCGATTCGAGACGACCGCGAACCTGTATTCAAATTATCGTGATGAATCATCATTATTTCTTCGCCATTATGCACCCAGCCTGAGTATATTTTAAATTTATTTACGACGTAATTAAACTGTGCAGATTTTCATATTACGTAAACTACGATTGCACGAAGAGATTAGAGAATAATAATATAGATAAATGTGGGGGGGGGGGGGGTGATATGAAACTTTTCGATGTAAACTTTCCATTTCGATATATATTTCGTTTCAAAAGAAAATAAACTTTAAACAAAAGTACCAGACTATTTAAAGTTTATTTAAAAATAATGCCAAGCTGAATCGCGGGACCCTTGCCCGTAATTAGCGTAATTTCAATAGACATTTAACTTCTCTTCTTTTTCATTAGGGCTGTATTCCAATTCAGACGTATGTACAGAGAAAACACAAACCTTTCATTCGGCTGACGGACCATCGACTCGAACGGTAATAGACGCTTCGTGTATACACCAAATCTAAATCTTTATTTTACACTTTGTACACTGGAATTTAATTCATATATACACGTATTGCTCTCTCCCTTTACAGTCAATCTATCGTTTAAAAAATAATTCCAACTAGATCCACACTCCAACAAACTCGTGACAAAGCTTCGTTGCCAGCGATTATGCTCAGACACTTCGAACATCCCGCTGAACATCACACTTTAACGCGACTTTCTGAAGCGATCGATACTCGAGACCCAACATCGATGCGAAAACGCTCGACGCTCAGAGTTGCGACGTATACACCATCGATCTCAACGCGCGTTTGTGTTCACGCCTTCGTATCGTCGTGGTTCGCCGAGAACGGACGGATACGCGACGTTTCGAAGCAATGCCATTTACGCGTGTCATCGAGCCAGCTCGAACGGCGACGATCGAGCTAGATCATCTGCGATCCGTTCGACCGTCCGTGAATCCTCGACCACGCACGGTCGCACCCACGCGAATGACGCTAGTTCTCCATTCTCGTTGCATACACGTACATGCAATCGAGCATTAGTATGTCACACCACGCCGTGCGTGGTCTAAACGTCCTTTGAACGCAATCAGCTGTTTGCATCAGGCTGTTTAACACTTTGAGCTTGACAATGGACACTAATACCACGACAAGTTATCCCAAGTACCACCGGTAACAATGACATTGTGATGAAATAATAGAAAAGTTAGTGCAGTAATTGTAGTACCCACGGTATATGCAAATGGCGCCAAATTCAAAGTGTCAAAAATTTCTTATCCTTTCCAGCAGAGGATAGAAACAAACATGTATGACGGTAATGTGTCACAAATCATTATATTTATTTGTAAATACGATTTAGAGGATTACAAACCATGATAGCAATAAGTCAATTGAAGAATCTATATTTCTTTTAATTGGAAGCATTAAACCATTTATCACTTGATCCGGCCAATGGCTAGTGTTTCGTTTGCACATCCTTCGATGATACTTTTTCTCATTTTTTTTTTTTCTTTTGTTTCAAGCGCTTAACTAATATATATATCTTGTGCCTCGTGGGTAACCATAACACGCTTCTTTGTTATTACTACTACATTGAAAATAATATTATGAAAAATAAATCTTAAACTTTCTGCTAAATTCGTTTTCGTATCGTTATTTTCGATCGCTACGAAAAAATGTAACGTACAAGATTTAAATACATAGCACTAAGTGCTACGATAATCGATCCCCTTTAAGGTATAAAAATTAATTACAGTATTCAGGCCGCTTACAATCGAATCAAATTAACGAGTATCGAGCACCAAGATCGGTTGTGTTGCAAAGCACATTTTGTAGAATCCACCTACAAAGTTTCTTACTTTAATTATTAACAAAATAAATGTGTTTTTCTTCTTTTTTTCTTTCTGTACATTCTCTAATACGTTTCAAAATGATTTCAATCTTGTATAATGTTGTTTGTTATCAAAAAACGCATAAAAAATTATAGTACATTACATAGATATGGTAACACACTGTGACGTCACTATGACGTAATTGTGGTTTTTTTTTATAATTTATCAATTAAATGTTAATCCCTCTCTTCGTAAAACCGACAGAACGATGTAACCAAACATTAACATCATTTACACACGTTATGTCCTGACATTATCTACTACACAAAAATTCGTTAACATTAAACACGATAAACGGGTTGTTCGAATAACTCTGTAGACAGATTCTCGCTTCAACATCGAAAATACATCATTCGAATACGTACAGAAAAAGTGGCTTATAAATTATTCTCTCCGAATACACGCTTTCTTCTTTATAATACAATACAATTGCGAATAGTATAATCATATACCGTGTATATTATCATACGCATTTGTTTTCTGTGTAATGCACAATCGAAATGTGTGGCATCGAATTCACTACAGGTGGAATCGCTACTAACATTTCGACCATGAGTTTTTTATTTTTTATATCTGCTGTAGTAAATATAGATAAAATTGTAATGCCAGCTAGTATGGCCTGTGAACACTTGGGTAGTTTGAAGTTTCTCGGTGAGCGGCCAACAAGTCACTCTAAACACTTATTCTTTACACTATATTTTTTTTTTGTTTCATCTTTGCTAGTGTATCGTGTGTGTGTGTGTGTGTGTGTGTGTGGTGTACGTCAAAAACCAATATATTAGTTTTTCGATAATATACAAATATTTACGTAACAAATAGATATTATTTAAATAAATTGCGATACAATATATAATGTCACACTGAACAACGTGTAAACACGAGCATTAAATACGAAATATGTATGTTCTGGTAGTGGCGGAAAGTCAACATTTCGCAGTAACATTGTTACCATGGTAACTTTGCTTTTGCACTAAAATCCTTTCGTTAATTACACAGAACCACAATAGAAGTTTGCTTCTTTCGTTCTTTTTTTTCTTCTTCTTTAAGGCATTCGAGTGGTTAAAAATCAATAGCAACTTTCATACAACGAATAAACGAGTGCTTCTACAAAATGGTATTTGTATGTTTGGAATATAAGTTGCAGTTTCAAACTCACACCTCTTTAGGAACTTTTAATTGTACAAATGCAATTCCGTTGCAGTGTTACGTAAACGTTTTCTCTATGACTATCGTGCAGACGACATTATTGTTTACATTATTGCCATGGAAACGTTATTACTGCTGAAAATATTTTCTTAAAATGAACAACCTGATGTGGAATTTTGAGCGGCGGAGCGGTTGTGGCAGCTGTGAGTCTTCGTTATTTAAGTCTATTTGTCTTTTATTCGTTTTTTCTTCTTATTTCTTTCCTTCTTTTTTTTTTCTTTCTTTAATTAATTACACTTAAGCATGCGTACACCGCAATAAAATTACACGCACTGTGTACGGTTTTTTTTTAAATATACAGGTATTACAGGATGGTTGAACCTCAAACTTGTGTATTAACAGTATAATTTATGAACCTCTAAAAGTGCTGGAATTTTTCAGTCTGTCGCACTTAGCATAAATGACGTATGTATCTATACATTATATATGAATATCCAACCAACCTGCGGATCGTTATGTACAAAAAACACAATAAGTGGTTACGTATTAACGGGTTAATGAAACGTATGCGGTATTTTGACTATAATGTATGCGAATAATGCATCTCGTTACGACGTTCAATACACAGTAACCAACGACAAATAAGTAAATAAAAATCTTTCCCTTCTTGATTATTTTACCTATTCGAGAGCATGTTTAACTCACAAATATATATATTTTTAATTACATGCTACCAAATAACTGCTGCGTCGCTGCTCTTAAAGCATAATCTTAATTAGTACCTTCATTATAATTACATTTGATTTAAAAAAAAAAAAAATTAGCTAAATTTAACTGCTGAATATCCAATGAAGTACTGGATATTGGACCTATCCTTTCGCTACTCCATCTATATTCTTTATAAAATTCCTCCCTGAGACGCAAGGATTGGTCATGGATATCCAGCAGTTAGGCCGAAATGCTAAGCATTTTTCACTATAAAAAAAGTGGCAGTTAGCCTATTTCGATCATTTCTGTATCTTCCACATTGCCATGCCCAACTCCGTTATGTCTACAAACCATCACGACCACGGTTATCGAACGTTCAGAATTAAATGAACATATATTTTAAATCAAATACATTACGTAATACTTGCGCCGGACATTGTGGCGCATTATTAATACAGAATATGCTTACCTATGATTCTGTACATGGTTATTATGTAAATGAAAGTGTGTTCCCCGCGGAGAAAAACCACGCATATTGCCTCTACGTGGACTTCGAGCATTTATGACCCGTGGTTGCGAATACATATCCTCTAGTATACTAGGCGCCACATAAGTAAATCCCTGGAATAAATCAAAACTTGTTTAATGATAAACAAAAAAGTATTTGTAAACAACATTGATTGACAAGAAATACACAAGTACGCACTTGAAATACTCTATTGGCAGATTCACTTAACGTGTATTCCGCGGGAGAATCTATTGGTGCGGATGTCGTAAATTTTTTATCGAACTGTGATACGTCGTCTTCACTTGTCAATGTTGGTCTAAAAGGTGGTTCCAACTTTCGAGAAATAACATCGTTCCAATTGATGTACTTGAAGAATTGATGATTCTTTATTTGTTCCGCATCAGATGGACCGGATCCTAATCTTTGTGCAACTTGCCTCTATAAATCGGAAAACGTGAAATTGTATCTTACACTGGTGAATAATTTCACGAATAACAACTATTGTTATTATGAAAATTAACCTTCAACAATTTTCGAATGAGGTCCCTGGAATCAGGTGTCAGATATTGTGGAAGATTTAATTTACCACGCAAAATCTTTTCAATAGTCTTCTTCCTGTTGTCAGATGTGAATGGTGGCTAGAAATTTAACACATAATAGTTGAAAAGTTCACTCCATTCATTTTTATCAACATCTGCTGTGACACTTACTGATCCTGTAAGCATATCATACATTAAGGTTCCCAGACTCCACCAATCTACTGCTTTACCATGCCCACTTCTTGTTAAAATTTCTGGAGCCCTTTTATAGCAAAGCATGAACATTAATATTAATAATACTAGGCTGTAAAAATCCAATTGTACCTATAGTTGCAAAAATATCCTTACATATATTCTATAGTGCCACAAAATGTATGTGTAACTGTGCCATCTTGTATGTGCTCTTTACATAAACCAAAATCAGTTAGTTTTATATGTCCCTCTGCATCTAACAAGATATTTTCTGGTTTTAAGTCCCTGAAAATTGATCAATAATAGAACAATTAGGTCACAAAGATAATAATACACTAAGTAATATATTTAACTATTCAATCTCAATGCATATTTACAGAAAAATTAAAATACCTATAAATAATTCCTTGTAAGTGAAGATGTTGAAGAGCCAATATTATTTCTGATAGGTAGAAACTATAAAAATAAAATATTCATGTAACTTTTCCTTCAAATCTAAATTACAATAAAAATAATTAGCAAAATTTAATTATAAATTCACTTACCAAGCAGTTTCCTCAAGGAAAATTCCTTCATCATTTAAGTGTCTGAACAATTCACCACCACACATATATTCCAGGATCAGATACAATTTTCCACCAGTTTGGAAAGCATACATAAGGTCTACGATGAAAGGATGCTGCCAAAATCAAGTATATATACATGTATGTTTTAATATTTTATTTTATTATACTTTAATAGAATTATAGCTCATCAAATTACTAATTATGATAAAGATACAACCATTATTTATGCTCTAAAATGATTGTGTTTTTATACATAGTTATTAACTTACTACTTTTACTTTACATTAGCAATTGAAATAATCTCATTTAAAAGAATCAGACGGCAAAGAATCACAGCAATCGTCTGAATTACTAATATTGGTCTAATAATAATTCAGACTTACCTTTACAGCTTCTAAGATATTTCTTTCAGCCTTAGTGTGTGCAGTATCTTTCTGATTCCTTATAATTGAAGCTTTACGCAAGACCTATTTTTTAAATAAATGTTTTTAACATAAATCATGCAAAGGTGAAATTAACATTAAAAAGTACAAATGGCATTAAACAAGAAATGAATATTCTATGTCTTTTTTTTATTTGGGTGAAAAAAACAATTCACAAGTAAAACTCATATCATTTTATATTTAATTACATAACAATGATACCCAACACTTCTTTGCAACATTAACTTTCCTCTCTTCAGAAAAAATACAACCACCTATATTAATATTTAATTTTTCTTTTTTTTGTAAAATCATTAAAAATGAAAATGAACTAGCAATTATTTAATAAAATGTTCCATAAGAAATGTTCCATTTAAAATAGAAATTAACGGAAAGAAAAATTATATTTGCAACAACTCTCCTGAAAGACAAAGGGAGACAAAGAACTTATATAATTACGAACAAAACGGTCAATTAAAATTTTCCGTGGAGCAAGGTCAATATGTATCGAAAAATATTCCTTCATACATACTGTACGACATCAGTAAAGTATCTAACAAAAAAAAAGGGAGGAAAGAAACAGATCAAATTTTTTGCCTTACCTTCATAGCGAAGATCGTGCCACTGTCATTACCCGTTATTTTACGCACTTGAAAGACCTTGCCATAACCACCCTTCCCAATAACTTTACAAAGTTCGAAATCCTGCGGTCCAGCTCTCTCCCGTCCGCGATTGACATTTTGTTCCGATATAGCTACCGTTTCGACACCTTCCGATCTAACAACGTGAAAATTGTCATTACCACGCGATAACTTAGGCGTGATGCGTATATACAAGCGTAAAGGATGGCTTACTCACTCGGTTATTTCATTCACATTCGGATTCGCATCGTACTCTTCCTACGTGAAAAGAAAAACGAATAGGAATAGTGTTATGGAACGTGGAATGAAAATGACGATAAGGAGACTGGTGTGCTCGCGTGCAGATGGAGAATTACCTCGCCGATCTCGATAACATCGTCGTCTGACTCGTCCCTATTTACTGTGTCTGCATCGTGCAACTCGATATCGAAAACCGCGGCCATTCTACGCGTAACTAAACTCAAATCCAACAAGATTTCGCGGCTGTCCGGAAGGCGAATTATTTCTTTTGTAACAGAGACGATGATAGCACAACAATATTGTTACACGGTCAAAACCTTGAATTACTGCGAACAAGCTGCCCTGTCCCAGGGCATACCAAACACCCTCGCCTTGCGTACACTCCGATTGGCTGCGGAATCTCGTCATCGTCAGGTTATCGGAGTGGGAGGGTACGTGGTTTCCACCAATCGGACAATGCGGTTCAACTTGCATGAAGAATTGACAACCACGAAATGGTAAGCGCTATTGCCAAGTTTTCACATGAGTTATTCCGCGGTTCGTTTGAATATCGCAATTTTACTAATTAGAAAAACCGACAGTGCATGACATTATTGGAATTTTGTATTATTAGAATGTCAAATAATACGTGCACTATTCGTGGAAATTCAAACATTTATATATCATATGCGTACGTCATGTACATATTACTATAATAAGATGTATCGGGTACGACAAGGTATGCATATTATTAACTGCTGAAAACGTGATTTTATATAAATAATAATATGTAATACTAGTAAATTTAGTAACATATGTTTTATATAATTTTTATTGAACAATGTTCAAACTCAATGCCAACAATACTGGGGCTAAAACGATATAATATACATAGACCTTTATTAATTTGAAAATTCGCAGCTTATCAGCCGGATTAGTATCTGCCGTAAATATCTCATGCAAGAAGTGTCGCCATTTCATGGTTGATAAGAGGTTGTTGCGCATTTACGTATCGTACAGTAAAAAAAATCTCGTAAACTTTCAATATCGTTACAAGTGCCATTTAAGAAAGACTAACAGAAAATGGTTACGCATCATCACATCCAGGGATACGAAAACTTTTTTGAATATATGAAAAATTTTAAACCTAATGAGCCAGTTTACGTACTTTATACTGGTACAAAACTTCCTAATGGCAAAAGTTGGTGTCCAGATTGTGTCGAAGGTATATCATTGTTCAATCATATTCACTTATTTTACACATAACCTAAGTTAGAAATACATCTTTCAATCAAGTAAAATCAGTACTTTTCATGATCAAAAACATTTTTAACGTATAATTTTTTGTGAACCATTAAAAAGTGTTCAGATGTGCAAAAATATCCATACTAACAACTTAACGATGTAAATGAATGAATAAAAACTGTTACTTTGTTACAGCGGAACCCTTTATAGAAGAAGGGTTTAAAGCAGCTCCTGAAGGAACACATTTTGTTGAAGTTCAAGTTGGAGATAGACCATTGTAAGTATTCATATAATTTATATTAATAGATTTCTTATTTGAGAAAGATAACGTAAAATATTTTTCTGTGATTTTATTTCAGCTGGAAGGATCCGAATTGTCCATTTAGAACAAACTCCATTACAAAATTAAAGGTTCTACCTACCTTAGCAAAATGGGGTACACAAAAACGTTTAGAAGGTAACCAATTGTCACAACTTGATCTCATCAACATGTTACTCACTGATGAGGATTAAGTGTACTTCAGTTTTGTGCAGCAGGGTAATGAAGCTCAAGTTGAACAACTCTGTAAGTCTCAAAATGATAAATTTTTCATCATAAAGTTGTTTCTTATAACACAGTTCTTTATTATCATAGATCTCAGTAAAATTACCTATCCTTTTTTACAAGAACTCCTATTTCTTTTTTTTTTACAAACATATGCACATAATTACAATGCATGTATAACCTTTTTACACTTATACTAATAATAATAGTAACTACAGATAAGAAACATTTTTAATGTAAAATTAACTACTCAGATCAATTTACATATAAAAGTAAATAAGTTATAAAAATCTGTAAAAATTTCATGAAATGATATTTGGTACTTTGATATAACACAAATAAAAAAAAGAAGAGTAACAGTAATATAAAACCATTGTTTTCTTTACATATTAATTATACTCTATGGAATGTATATTTTTAGAAAGAATATTTCCTATAGCATATACTACTTTTTCTACATCGTTCATTATGAAGAAGCTGGTATTATTTCTTGCGGTTCCGACGGTGGTAGAACACGCACGGAGTAATGAATTTTTTTATTTCTCAATAGACTATAAGTATTATCAAAAACAACGGAATCTGTAACAGATAAAGTCGTCGATATATTATCTTTGATATTTTCACGACTCGTCCATTTGCGTGTTGTCTACTCACACGTGGCAGGTACTTCGCAGTTCAGAATTCCGATTTCATCTAATTGATGAGCGGCCACTCGTCGCATAGGTATCACTTCCTTATACGACCCATTGTTATCTTTCTTCACAATACCAAATCTAATATCATGATTCTCCGTTCGGAATTCCCAACTGTACATATTAACGATTAATAAACCTGCAATTATTATATTATGCCCAGCTTATGAATTTGTTTATACCTCAATATAGATCCCATCTCTGATGCAGGCAAATCAAGCTCCAACTTTCCACCTTTCTTAATTGTAACTGTAGTAAAGTTCTCCTTATCTTTCTCTGTATTAGTTACATACATTTCTTTTGGGACTTTACCTCCAAGACAAATCTGAAATTAATTAAATAAACTAAATAATCTTTTCTGACATGATTGCTTCATTTACCGTAAAAATCATTGTCGCTACCTTTGTTCCACATTTTGGATTGCCATCAGGATCCTTGAGAGTACCACCGAAGTATGCAGGTACTTGGTCCCTAGATGTGTTACTGAATATGGCTCTCTGCCACTTTGCAGGATCAGTCTTGTATATTTGAATTTTCGACAAGGTGTACTCATCCATAAACTTCTTTGCAACTGAGAACGCGAAAGCAAACACTTTCGGCGCTACAAAAAGATATAATTACATAAGTAATCAACAACTTGTCCTTGTATCACCCTAAAACGTACCATTGACTATATAACAGGTCTTCAAGATCTCTGGATAGTTGGCCTCGTACATTTGAATTAAAGTGATGACAACCTCTCCAGCTGAAAAGTGAAATTTCCAATTAAATCACCAATGACAGACACTCCTGTGTTCATAATTAAAAATCGTGCCTCTGATAGAACGGCTAATAACCGATAAATCAGAAAGTAACTTCAGTTTAGCAAAGAGTTACATCAGTGACCGGTCATTTCTCACAAATTCTTTAGTATAAGAAAAAAAAACCCCTTTCATCTTATGCAATCATCACGCTCGTTAATGCTCTGTTTTTGTGTCCTACCACCATGTAATCGCCAAAAAACGGTGGTTAACATGTTGCAATGAAAAAGAACGAATAAATGTAGTGGAGAAACTTACGTAATTTCGATTAATTACTGTTACATCTACAATTGTAATTTACCTGGTCTCCAGAGGTATTGCCTCAAATTGAATCCTTGCATGTCGAAGATAACGACTACTTGACCAGCTGCAGGACCATGTTTCTGCATTTGCTCTCTGCATATTTTAAGATACTCCTCGAGACGCTTTATGGTCACTCTTATCATATCTCTACGCGAAGCGACGTGCAAAATCCCGTAAATATCAAAAGAGTCAAAGTATACGACGGCCACTGGAACAATATTGAAGTTATTAATTTTGCGAATTTTTCTTCGGTGTTACGAGTCGGTTTAAGCTTCGGAGAAGTGGCAGAGAGGTTCACCTGGAGCTCCATCCTTGTCGAAACCGCACAGACCGTGAGGTAGATAGTCGTTCAAGACTTGAGGAGGTTCCCATTCTGGTAGCTTATCGACCTCCCATTGTTTTCGCCACTCCATAGACTGGAAAGGAAGTGTATCGTGAGAATAGCATAAAATTGAAAACACGTCGTAGAAATGAGGAAAAGATATTCGGGGCATGATTGGGAATATCTGAGAAAAATACGTTCAAGGTCGACCGCATTTTTTAGACACGATTAATTTAATTTAGTTCCTTGTGTCAGATCGTGTAATATGAAATTTCAAATTAACGAGGGAAATAAAAATAAATAAATTCTTGAATAATTGAAAAAAATTTCTTCTCAAAATAAACGATTTTCAACATTCAAAAATAACTCGAGAGATCAATTGGTGGAATGATTAGAAATTGGACGTTTTGGGGTGAAACATCGAATACACGATGAGAAGAAAAAATTTTCCTCCAATATCTGTGCGTTGTCACGAGGAGAATAAGTAGACACGAAGTTGAGAAATTTCATTTCTCAGTCTCTCCCTTTCATAGAGAAGGGCAAAACGCAGTTGCAAACCTCGTGTTGCAATATCCGGAATTATACTCGAAAAAGAAAGTACACGCGCGAGGTTCGTAGTATCTAAACCAACTCGTGTTTTTGAACAGAGGTTCAATGTAGAAATCGATAATGACACGATGCGGGTAGCGTTACACCATCGAATCGAACGTTAAATTATGTTGCAGGTCACCAGAGAACGCACGTATGAAATGGTGAAGAATTCCAATCCGGGAATTTCTTCTCGACATTTCATTTCAGAAAATAAAACTTCCTTTCCCTCGTAAATTTTTCTTCCATTTATTTACACGCGCGCGAGAAGAAATCTTCTGAACGAAAGTCGCCTCGAAAAATGTAAAAGCATAACATACTGCAGGTGTTCGCAGTGCAAACAGCTCGTCCTGTACTCTCTCTTTGCTCTTTTGCCTCGAGCGCGAATCGAACGTTTCGTCTTAATTTTGCGGACGTTTTTCGATACGATTTTCCCCTCGATCAGCCGAACAACATTCTTGAAAATGATGAAATTACAGTTTGGAGAACGGTGAAAGGATATGTTAACCCTTTGAGACCTGATCAATTTTTTCTTCAATTTCATTTAGGAGTCAATATTAAAAAAAAAGAATCGAGTTTAGTTATTTAAAATTTTTACATACAAATTAACTTCTTAATTCTCTTCACTTTCATCTGAAAGACTATACTTAAAAAACTATGTCACTGAGTTCAGTTATTTAAAATTTTTATATAGCAGTTAATTTTCTAATTTTTTTTTACTCTCACTTGGGACACTATCTAAAAAAAAGAAAAATACTGCGAGCATCGATGCTCGTTTAGGCACCAAAGGGTTAACGATAGATTCATTCTCGTCGAACAGTCGTGAAAATATTGCGGAGGCCCTGAAGCGATGAAAAATGCATAATGTACGCAGAAGACTGTTCTTTTTTCCCCTCTTGGCCATCAAAGCGAAGAGAATACACTACTGTACTCTCGGTTAACGGGTGATCTATGAGCTAGCATAACTCCCGAGGATCTTCGAACACGTTTCTTGAAACTTCCGCGACTATCGCGAAAGGTAGACGACTGATCCACGTAATACTCAACGTTTCGAACGTACAACTTATCGCAATTAGGTCCAGAACCGTAGATAGTCTATGATAAGGCCGACACGGGGAAAGTTTAAGTGGTCTTTCTCGTGAAAATTTCGTAGTCACGGTATATCTCGACACTTGTGTCTCTTCTTTTATTATTTCTACACATCGGTGCGTCTGTGTTACTTCGAGAAATGTTTGTTACAGCAAAGATACGTTTGCACTTCGCTGTATTAACCGGCGAATTTTTTTGTCAATTATTTTTACCAATTATACGTTCGTTAGAATTAGTTCCATTCGGATATTACGGATTCTGTTAACGATGATTACGAGAAATAAAGGAAATTCAACGGTTTTGAGAATTAATTGGGTAGAGTTTTTAGATAAAATTTCAGTTAAGTCGTTTCAGATAGTGTACACGAAATGGAATGCATAAGAAATATGTGAAAGTATGCTGTAGGCTTAGGGAAGTGTGTGTCCCCCTTTCGAAAGGATTGTCAAAGAAGAATTTTTTTCGAAGCACAAGTGTTTCTTTATTATTTGACTTGCACGAAGCTGGATAATATTACTGGCCGTGTAATTATTGCGATAAGAGGTATGAAACGTACGGATAATTATACGCAAAGGCACTTACGGCGCGCAGCATCTTCTCTGCGGCCACGGGGTTCCAGTTTCTTGCTGCAAAGAGTAAAATAACGTTAATTATCAGAGCAGTGACAAATTTCTGATTAAAAATTGAACGAAAGTTTTTGAAATTTTCAATTTTTGTGAATTATAATACTTTTCACAGTCCAAAGTTTCCACTCGTAAAAGATAGATATTACACTTGTTCCCCCTCGCGTTAACACTTTTCATTGCATCATGCAACGTTCCTGAAAACCCACCAGAAATTTTCATTCTTCTCGAATCTAATTTCGCAAAATTTCCCCGCTAAAATTTATTACATCGAAATGTTATTTCTGCAATAGAATTGTACACGCATTTTGAAATTCAACTCAAGTATGAGTAAAAACTGTTGCACAATAATTTTTTATCCACACCTGTATTGTCCGTCTCGATATCGAAACATCCAAACAGCTAATTCTTCGTTCCGACATCTCGTTATAAATCATTAACAATAATTGATACGTTCGTTGTAAAAAGCAATTGTACTTTTACCGTGTCTTCTCGGAAGAAACAATTTATTCATTTACGTAAATATTATTTTTCAATAAACATCTTCTTTCCGAGCAAAAGAAGAAGAATTCTACGATCGTCCAGTGGTCTACCTTGAACCCTGATTCATTTGCGTAAGCATATCTCGAACGAAATTTACTTTATGTACGAAAGGAGAAAAAGATTCTTGTACAATGAACGTCTCGTCGACTTTGAACTTCCCAGGCGAATGCAATCGTCCGCGGAGAGGCAAACTCGAGGCATATCTTACAAGGTAACAATCGGCCAGGAAACAGTCTCAGACACGACGAAACAGATAGGCGTAAAGATCCAACCGCGTTCGCCGGTGAATATACACGTTTTAATGGATTTCTTCAGGGCGCTTTCTTGTACACGCACTTAACGCGTGCAATGTTGAGAAACTGTCCGAACGATTGCAATAAATTTCAAGAATTCGTACCTCGAAGCCAGCGCAGTAGAAAGTTATCGTCATGATACGGTTGCTTTAGAACGTCTTGAACTGACCGCCTAAACTGAAATCAGAAGTTCGTATAAATTATCCGCTTATGTAATTGAATAGTTTTATAATATTAAAACTATGCGTTACGTATATTAATTATTCGGAGAGATTGCACCTCGTAGCTGTTAGTTACAATTAGTTACAAGTCGTTAGTTACCAAATATGATAATACAGACTGGTTTGAAAAAAAAAAAAAAAGCTGCTTAACACTTTTATATGGGAGAATTGATGCATGTATACATTTGCAAAAGCAAAGAAGATTCTAAGAATTTGTTAACAATGATCATGAATAAATGGAGACTCTTTAAGCACAAAATACATTTGGCAAAGTTCAGTTCTGATTTTTTTGAAAAGAAAAATTAATTCCATATAAATGTTCACATTTTTTTTAAACACTCTGTGTCTGCAATTATTTCCAAAAGTTTCCACTTTTCACTGCTTTGAAAGAGATTTGCAGATAGAATAAAAGTAGAATGTAACAGTGTACAAATTATGATAGAGAATTATGGCGGCTACAAGATTGATTAATATACCTGCACCAACATGTTGCAGTATATTGTTATGGTACACCAAGGTAGTCATATATCATGGTTAAAAGATAAAACGTGAATTATGGCAAAAGCGCAGTTTATGAACAGTTTATCGCTGCCGGTAGAGAATTGTTCATGTTGAGAAATTGATTGCTATATCTTTTATCTGCGATTCTCAGTAAAAGCGGAATGTTTTTCTAGGAAGTGCGCTGATGACTTGACGGTCAGTGCAAAAATCTTCGACCGTTTTCTTTTACGTGGTTCACAAAACCACCTGCATTTACTTTCACGCTGGCTTTTCAGCGGGTCAACACAATCCGGTTACCCATAGCCGAAATATCGGTCAACCGTACTTTGAGATCTATATTTAACAGGTTTTAGTTTCAGAAATTCTACCACACCGTTAACAAAATTTTAGTTACAGACTTTTTGCTGAGAACTTGCCGCGTAGAATTTGCATTCTAGAATTGATTCATACGAAAATTTGAATTCTACTCTAATCAATTACTCCCGTTACTTTATGATCTCGATCTTGATTGCATTAGTCTCAAGATTAATTAACTGCATAAGAGGATCTTGATTAAGCGTATGTTAAAGTGTTAATTGGTTTCTTCCTTGTCGATAGTAATAGAAAAAACATAGATTGTAAAAAATTTCAAAGGTGAGACGATCACGCGACAAATTCAACCATTACGTCAATTGAACCGATTCTTTCTCTTGCGAAATTCTCCAAGAGACACGGCGGATCTACGATATGGATTGCTGGTTACTCGTGCAATTATCGTAATTACCATAATTAGGGGACGCTTTGAGAACGATACTCGGAATTATTCAATTTTTTGTCAGTCAAAATTGATCATGATACGGAAATTCTGTATAGTAACAGATCGAAGCTCTGCATCTCAATTAACATAGATCGGTTCTCGTGAAAGTAATTGACGTTTATTCATGACAGTTTTTCATGTAAAAGAGAAAGACGAAACATCTCTTTTCCTCTGTGAAACGTTAAAAATACAGCGACGTGCAAGAATCCTTATGAAAACAAATAGTCAATATTACGTTACTTTCTAATACATTTAATTTTTCATATAACATAACGATAATGCTAAAAATTAGCTTTATGTTATTGTCAGAAATTTTTCATTTCCATGTATGTACAAATTTAACATCAAACACCGTATGTACGTATAAATAATTTCCATTTAAAAACCAAGATATACTAATGACCCCGATATCTCTGCACGTCACAGTTTACAAGCGTGTTCCGTTGACTCGAGATTTTTACGCGACTCGTGTGTTCGATTGATCAGCGAAACCTGACTGAAACACGCGCCGAGACCCCTCGTACTCATATGTAGCACGATCTAAGAACCTGATGAAGCCGATTTACGTATAGAATCATGTATGAGCTAACTAATAGGCGGAAGAGGAGATGTTCTCTCGTGGACGCGTGCGCCTAATCTTTAGCAGCGTCACGTTCTGAGATCATGTGTGTATCTACATGATGAACGACAGGGTAAAGAAAGTGCCGTTTTACTCGTAGAAACCGTTTCCCCTCTGTCACCACCAAGTAAAAACATTGTATATACATATACATGCACACATATATAAAAGAGGTACACGTCGCGAAGAGAGAACCTGAGTTATTTCGTAGTGCGAACAGATGTAGCTTTTGAAAGAAGAAATCGAAGACGGAGAAAGGAATGTGTGTGTGTGTGTGTGTATATATATATATGTATATACACGCTAAACGATAAAAAGATTTTCGTCAGGTGAAATCTCTTTCGGATAATAGCATGTTTTCGAGCGTTGAAAGTGACAATAAAAACCACACTGTTGTTACTGTAATCGGCGTGGAAGAACGAAAGTTTCAATGGAGAGGAAGTGGATTGTTCGTTGTGAAGTTTGTTTCATGATGGTTCGTTGATTGATCGTTAGTCCAATGTCATGTAGGTGTGAATAGTATGGATAACTGGAATGGAAAGAAAGAAATCAGGTTACAGAGTTAGAATATAAGAAATGAATAAATTCATGGAACTTCCTGGTAACGGTGACTTGGTTAAAATGGAAGTTTCCGCTTTTATATGTTTACAATATTATCAAGGACAGAGTTCATCATTACAATATGCATCTTTTACACGATCATTTGCACCTTTTTTTTTTTTTTTTATAAAGGATTAGTACGAGGTGCAAATATTTCGTTATGTAAAACACTAAATTTACTATTGTTTGCCTATTGTCTATTTAAATTACATATAAACCATCCACGCGCGGTAATGTAATTTCATATTGGTCTGTTTACTCAGTTTCAAAACTTGCATACGAGATTGAATGTGTGAGTTCAGCTAGAATCTGTAGTTGCTGATCGATGGAGTTCTTGGATTACAAAGGAGAAAAAAACTGAACCGTCATGGTTCTTCTGTTTCTATTAACGTTATAAAAAATACTCCACCGTCATCGAAGGGGATTAACGAATTCCAATAAATTTCCTATAACTTCGTTGATCATTCGATGCAATAACATACTCCAGTTAAAGTGTTATCGTTGTAATTACAATTATACCTACAACAAACGTTGAACGATGGAAGTATGCAAATGTCTCCTCAAGCATGATAAGCGTTATAAAAATTGACGATCCCGGTATTTTTTCCGGGGCAGCCTGTTGACCCTGACCTTACGATCGTTCAAATCGAAGCGTCGACTTACTTTCATCAACGCGAATCGTTGGTCATCCTCAAGTCCAACTGCTTTCGACATTCTTCTTCTCTTTTGTTACACCTTTCGGCGACAGAACTTTCCCGATCCGTCTCTCCTACCTAGGTAACACCTTCCTGCTTCTGATTTCCACCGGTGACCAGTGGCTTTTATTTCACAACTCCTTTTAATCGACGAAACGTATCAGAGGTCCGAAGTAGCACTTCGCGTCACGCGAGAGACTGTTTTCCTTCGTTGCGAACTGCTGTGAACAAGCGATATTTAAACGTGTATAGTTATCGTGCAAAATCTTAACGGCATGATTTAGAAAGCGGAATATAAGACAGAGTTATTATCGATTTAACGTAATAGATGTCCCGCGCGGTACTCTATGATAATCGGCTCGTTATTATGCTCCCGGCGACTGGCCGACCAACGCTGCATTTCTGCAATAGCGAACGTTTGCACGTTTACTCCGTGGAATGTACGTCTTCTGCGTTGCAGCATTGTAGATATTAAAGACGACTCTGAATCTCCTGACCTTTATGGTGAAATCCACGGAGAAGGATAAGAATTCTTGATGAATGGGTCTTCGTCATTTTCGATACGATATCATAGAGGTTATAATGTGTATACAACGCGGTGTCCAAGTTTAGAATGGATTGTTATTGTTTGTGTGGAGAAACTGAAAATTATATTGACGAAAGTGTGGATTGATTAAATGTTAGTTTTTACGGTGAAGGTTCTTGTTTATTCCTTTTTCATGTATTCTTTGATAAAATTTGCAAGGAAAAGTGTGAAATATCTTGGTACGTATTATGTTGCAAGGTACGGTATAATTCGACATCGTGGGGTTTTTTTCACGGATGTTCGATTTACTGTTCGCGGCGCCACACGTTTATTCATAAACGGTACGAAATTACTGTTACACTAGGGGAATAACCGTATAATGGTACCTGCTGAGCGTTGAGACAACCATAGACGAACCATTCGATGTATTTAACGATTACTTCTACGCCGCTTTACTTATGCGTTTATTAAACGGCAATAATAAAAATGTCACAGTTGGTAATATCCATGCATTAGCGGGGAAAAGAAATTGTATCATATTACGTAACGAATATTTAACGACTGCGATCCATACAACAACCGCGAAACTTCAACTCTCTCCATGTGCATAAAGTACGTGTCGCAATCGATAAATTCCCCTCGACCGGTTCGACTCCGCAATCACATTTAACCTACACCTCGAACTATTGAAAAAAAAGAACATTACCAAGAGAAACGAAGTGTCTCGAGATCCTCTTCGAAAAATCTTTCTTCTCGTCGCTACGAAACTAACGATCAACGAATCACGTAGTCACTGAATGAAGGAATAATTGCGCGCAAGCACGTTCGAATAACGCATCTCGTATTGTGTATTCGTGTTTCGCGGCGGCCGGCTTACTTAACGACGCAACAGGTGTCTCTCTTGCAGTCACCGCGAACGCGCGCGAGCTCTAATTCGAGAGCCAATTTCTTACTAAAAATGAATGCTCCGCGGTGACCGGCACCCAAAGAATGGTACCGTCTTGTTCTGCGCTGTGTTCCCGATGCTCGGCGCTACCGTACGACGACACCCCACCACTTTGTCTCGTTTATCTTCACGTTCGCCGTAGGGGAGCGGAAATCAATTGAAAATCGCCTCGATTGTCTTGGATGATCAAACAGTACGTACAACTGCGTGCCGTGATGAGCTCCTCTTCCTCCGCGGAATACAGCGTGCACCGGGAACGATGCAGCATGGGATTGGATCATTTCGAATGCGCGCGAGTTTGTGAGTAAGATTGCTGCGGTGTGACATTGTTTGACAGCTTCACAGGGACTCGCATTTTGTTTTATCACATTGTGAAATTGTCGCATGAGATGTTTGAAGATACACCGATCACTCACAGGAGTTCGTTATGCGTCGATTTAAATGTTAACCTCCTGATTCTCGGTTCGAGTTAGATCGATAAAACATAGACGAAGAATTAATCCACCAAGCTCATCAGAATGTTTTCGTTGTATACTGATATCATTGTAGCCTTGGTAATTTTAAGTTTCCGAGCTCCGAATTTATTTATATAGAACCATAATTCTATTATAAGCAATTTGCTAGACGGTTTATGGAGGGGAGTCTGAAATTAAATTCCGTGCCGCCATTTCGAGGCACTGATTGCGCCATCTGTCGAGGGGTTTCGGTGATGCTTGGCGAAAATATTGACTATCTCCGGCATTCGACCTCAATCGATCTCTCGCATTCGAGTCATCGCGCACCCAGTTATGGCGTAGGATGATAAGTAGTATGAGGTATTGTGCGTGTTTTCCCGACGAATAGGCCGGTTATTATTATTACTAGGAACCGCATTTCGATTAATCTGTGTTCGAATAACGACGAACAACTGATTCATGCGACCATAGAGGTTCAGTCGCGTCTGCATCGAAGAATGCAGTTCCGTTATAAGCGATACGTTATCGGCGTTTTGTGCCGGCATATTTTTCAGCAAGGAAGTACACCATACGATAGCGTACATTCATCATTATCGAAGTTAAATAAATTCTACCGTTGTCAGAAATCCATCAAGTAAGTGATTCCTTATAATTATCCTGTTTTTTTTTTTAAAACGCTACTAATTCGCGGCCGTTGATTGCACTTTGATTGCTTGCTTGCTTGTAACAGTTGTAATATCCTTAGAAAAACATGTATAGTGAACCTAGGCAAGGACCTTACCGTGCCGTTCTTTCATTAATCTTCGCAGTAGTTTATGTATATGTCGAATCGTTCGTTCTAACCACAATATAACGCCAAAAAAATTTCAATGATGTTTGAAATGAAGAAAAACCGGTGTTTCAGTAAATTAAGGGTAACATATGGAAATGCACGTTCGAATTTCAATTGCGACCATTCATTTGATATTATTCGACCGGTTTCGTCTATTTACGTCATTCGTTATGGTTATGTATGGTTACCTCATGTTTATTCATTAAACTGTTAACATGTTATTCCATTCACAACTTGTTCGATTGAGTGCCCTATTACATTGTTTCACAAGTGTTGAATAAACATTGAAATGTACAGAAAATCCACTATCTTCTCTGTTATTACACCAAATTATAAAAACTCTGTGCGTATGTTACGTTTTCTTCGTATTTCGAAATGATCTACTGCGAAGCCATTTTTATCTAGAAATTCGCTGAGCGGAAAATTGGTCTCGAAGGAAGTCATACCTTCCCGACTTTTAATTACGTAAGTATCCCGTGCATGTCATTAACTGGAGGAAAATTGAGTCAAGGTTTTATGCGGAAACGAAGCCGTGCACGCGTTTGTTTTTATACCATGAAGCCAATGACCCGAAACAGCGGTTCTTAATTGATATCCTTCTTCCACTGTCCTTAATAATAATAAAAAAAAAAATACGTGGAGAATTGGTTAATAAAAATTCAGGTATTCCAACGTTTGAATATTACCTATTGTTCGAATAGCATAACTTAAAATTTCAAGTTTATTGCTTTTTTTTAAACACCTCTTTTATCTTTTTTATTTTTATCTTTTTTATTTTTTTATTTTTTTAACTGTTTACTGTCAGCAAGTTTATATCAATGTATCTGTGTACCGATAATTGGATCTTACATACTCGTGTATCCTAATGAGCTTGAAGAATTGTTAGTGCTGAAACATGATATGCAAATGAATAGCGATATCGTCTTCTAATAACGGATTGCACCGCTCAAATACGTTTCTGATATTCATAGTACAGTGCAAATTATACAGGCGTAGTATTCTTAATCCTACAACACAAACATGGGGAGTACAGTAGCCCAAGAGGAGTAAGTTTAATCCGTTAATGCTGAGACACTCTGTAAAATGTATCTCTAGCTTTTCCACGTGTCAAGTGCACGCAATATATCAAAAAGTTACCACACGTGAACCGCAATTTGCCGGAAAAGCGACACGTTGGGAGGCACTGGCCTAGAGGAAATATATGTATATTGGAAGGTAGGAAAGTCTGGTTACTGAAGCACCTTTCTCTCGGCCTCGCTCGAACGGGACACACTCCACGCCGCGCTGCGGCCGGTTAAGCACAATAAAACCAAACACGACATCGTCGTACTCTTTTGTCGTACCGCCCGCGCTTCAGCTTCTCTCTGGAATTCTTTTGCGACATCTTTGTCTCAATTCGTCGAAGGGTGGTGACTGTGCTGTTTCTATTGCTCGGGTGGGGAACACGTGGTCATCTAAATCGAGCACAATAAATGTCATTTATCAGAGCGATCCGGCAATACAGTTAGCGCCGTCTCACGCGCCCATCCAGTGTTCCCATTGTCGGCTGTCAAGAAATAGGAATACACGCTCCAGTTTCCAATACCACGAATCACACACGGGCGAATGTCGTTTTCGTGTTTAATGAAAACAAACTGGTGCTATTGTGCGCCTTTTCAATGTCGCCTTATCTTCAACTTTGTGATAAGGTTGAATTTCAGTACGATAAAAGTTTGGTAAGGTGACGAGGGAACAGCCTAGCTCGTTAAGGCAATTGTCTCTCGCGTGTCTGTGTGTGCTGCAAGGAACTCTGACGAGCCCGTTGATGGTGCATAGTTGGAATTGATAGATCGAAGTGTGTGCCCGGTGGTTAACATGGAGACTCGTCGACGAGCTGAGCATGGTTCTTGTAAGTAATCCAAGGAATTTTCTCACCTGTAGCTGATAATGGTCAGATGGAAAGTAAGTGTAGCGAGTGGAGTAACAGGCTGTTGAGTAGTAAGAAACATGTGTAGAACTTCAAGGTATTAGAATTTATAAGCTAAACTTGATGAATTTAGTGTGGCAATTGGAGTTGACCGTGTAATCTTTTTAAGTAAAATTTTCATTGGATATTTGTAGGATTTTATTCAGATCTAGATGATTCTTGAATTTGAAGTTCTAGAATGTACATACGTATATAGAGCTTTTCCTTTTATCTTGACGTTGTTACAACAGCATCATCATATTATTTGCCTGTATATTATACCCAAGTTACTTCTATTCGAATTTCTAGTCACATCTAGGATATCTAGAGATACCTAGAATTGTTAATGATCAATAGTGTCTTCATTGTTCTATGATTGTTATACTATTTAACGTTGTCAATGATTAGGCCTCATTAGTTTTCCTTTCTAATTCATACTTATGTTGTATTACATAATATCCATATACCATCGTATCATAATTTTCCATCGTTATAATCACGTGACAAAAATTTTCTACCTATAAAAAATTTCGTTTTTCCGTGCTTCGTGAAACATAGTTTCGTGTACGAAAGAGCATGTACATACGGCAATGACGATTCTCAGCTAATAACAGGATACCGTGAATAGCCGGTTACGAACATACGGATTCCGATAATAAAAACTTCCGATATACGGACTCTTTTGATCTCGATAACAGGAGATATGAATTCAGCCTGTTCCATTAGCATTGGAAATTCACAGAAATCCTGTAACGAAAAAGCGGCGAGTGACGCTATTAATTGTGATTCTAGGACAACGATGCCCTGGAGTAATGGGCTTAACGGTTGTAAATCTTCTTGCGCATCACGTCTTTACCTCTTCTTCAATGTGCATTGTCGACTAATTGACTCCTTCAACTGTACCATGGAAACACATTTTGCTATTGCGAAATGTGTTGTTGCCTTGTTTAACCAGTAATTACTTCATACAATTCTATTAAAACTCTTGGTAAAATTCTAGCGAACCAGAGCAACACTTTTTCCTGTAACATAAACGTTAGATAACTTATGAAACATTTTACAATTGGACAGTTTTAATTAAATACATGTTTAACTTTCTAACGACTATAATATTCTTTCCATAAGACAATGTAGAGTCTTTAGAATGTCTCAAGAACGCGTCCTATCCTCGAGGCGATCGATTTTTCAGTTGGAACTGTTATCTCTTATCTACTATGCGCCTCGATCCGCGATGAATCAAGCCAGCCTTTTGCTGCAACGGCCTCCGCTATAAATCAAGGAATTTCGCGGATAGACTTCTCGCTGTGGACAGAGAATACAAATTCTCTTTAGGTAATACCATTTTTCTAAAGAATAGAGAACAGAGAATTTTTTAAATAATACCTATTCTATCGAAAAAGTTTCAGAACACAAATCAAATAAAATACAAATTATTCATTTATTCAGTAGTATCTACTTGCTCAATCCTGCTGAGATATCTACTACTCGATAATACATTTATACCAACTGAATAATTATACAAGAAGATTTTACAATTTGCACGGTAGAGTCAAGATCAGAGGATCTTCAAAGGAAATGCGAACCGTTTGAAACAGATCGAATTTATTTATGATCCGTGGTCCCTCTAAATGTAATCAAGCGCCTAATATTGGTAAAAGCCAAGGGTAATGGCTAGAAAACAGGCGTGACCAGTTCCTCAAAGCGAATTTTCACCGTAGGAATGGGGTTTTAAATAGATCAGACGCGATTACAACGGCAAGTAGGCTAGGGGTGCCCTGACCATGACTGCGGACGACGCGTTGCTTCTGGATGGAAGAAGTGGTCGTCGCGTCCTGGATGCTTGCCACGAGGAAAAGTCTATAAGTAAAATTACCTGCTAGCCGACCACTTTACATTCCCGGCTCGCCCTGGCGAAAATTCTTGCGCTGTCTGCGACTTCTTGCTTGTTTCGTAACTGAACTTTTTTCACATTTTCACCATTGTACGCAGATGTTTGTCTTTCGACGCGAGAGGATACGCCTGAAAATATTTCGCCTCGTCAGAAAACGCGTCAGATAACATTTTATAAACAGTTGTTACTCTCTTTGTCTCTCCTTTTCTTTCCCTCTCTTCCTCTTCCTTTCTCTCGCTTCTAGGTTAACACATTGCCAACTACACGAGAGTTTTCAGAAATGGAATGAAGAAAGTTATAAAACGAAAGGGCAAGTGATGATTAGAGCATCAGGAATTCAATTCATATCATTATTCTTCTATAATTAAATATTTCAATGTGACTCTTTAACTTCGTCTTTACGAACCTGAAAAATGAACTTACGTAACTTATACTTATTATTACATTATAACGGTGTATTTTCTTATTACTATATGGATATGCGCAGTTAGTGGTGCCAAATATATTTGCAACAATGTCGTTCAAAAGGACGATAAATTTTGTTTCAGCACCGTTCGAACGATAGTTCGCGTATTTACATCCGTTCGTTGATGTAGTCTCACGTGTAGTAACCGATATTTTACAGCCGCCGTTATTCCCAGAACAAACGGAAAAAAAATGTTAAACAGGAAGCTGTTGCGAACATTGTTGTGGCAACGTGATCCCTTTCAGTTCGACTTTGAACGCCTTCGCTGCTCAGAAACTGAAACTGTAAAGTGAATGCAAATGAGATTTTTCAATGTTAATGGAAAGTTTGAAATTAAAAGAATAAATATTGTAATTTTGAATCGTTGTCGTATCTCATGTTTAAAAATACTCGAGCCATTACTTACTTGTAGCAGTTAATGACAATCTCGGTCCCGTTACCCTGATATATTCTCTCAAACCGAGAATAGTAATCTGTTGAAATAAATGCAGTGTCTTAAAGGTCTAAACACGGGTCTCCTTAATCCACGGATCGTATAAACGCGAACCTTCTGACATCTCTATTGGGTGAGAACAAATGTAATAGTTGTCGACGTCGTGAGAGAAAAATTAAATCCTGTCGAAGTGTTGACATAGAAAAAAAATGTGAACGATTATTCTGGAAAGTATTCTAATACGAATACGAATGGATTAATTATACTGTGTTATGTTTTCAGACTAAAAATAATGGCTACCGTGAACGTTTGTTTAATCCGTTTTTGCGCACAGAGATCGAAAACATAACCCTTAAAATATGATTAAATACTTATCGTTCATTTTTGCGTAAATATTTTGTACATAAATATAATAATTTCTTTTACAATCATAAAAATGTGAAAACATATTTGAAAAATGATGATACTACATATATTTATAATTCGATCGTTTCTAACATATCGAAACTGTTCGATCCGCTTAGACACCTTATAAGTTCCCAAGCAACAATTGCTTTTAATTTTTTACGCGTCATTTTCAATCTAATAACGTTTTGTAAAAGAAAATGGTCATTCATGCATTAAAAAACATGATTTATTTCAGAAAAAATATATAAAAAAGTATCGAATTTGCATTATTCAGTTACAAGTTCAGTCGGTTGGTCGAACTTGGTCACAGATGGCCGAAGACGGTCGGTGATCGTCGGCTCGCTTCGGCATCGGCCGTTAACGTTCGTCGATGCTGTGATCGCGGCATTCTTATTCAGTACAGTAGTGTCGTTTGCCGCTGTCATTTAACACGATTCTGTTCCACGCGAACTGTTTCGTTTTTTAAGTCTCCCATAATTGCAATGTTGAATTAAATATCAGTATTCTCCATTGGTTAGTTTTTTCTGCCTGATTCTTTCTATCTGGATTTTTGTAACTTGTGAAAAGTGAGTGGAGCGTTGATCTCCGTCATGGGTTCGCGCGTTCATCCGCACACTTCTCCGAGCGCCCCCAAAATGGTAAATATTGTTGCACGTTTAAAATCATTCGTCGATACACTTCCAAATTTAAAATACGTAACTTACGAGACCAACATACGAGTGAATCAAACTACTCTGACTCCAATAAAAAATTGTACATTTGTTATAATGATAAATTCGTGACTTAAACTATAATGTTACTTTTTTTTACACTTTGTGCTATGTTCTACTAGTCCTTGTATCACTCCGTCATGAATGTACTGTCTTCGTGGAATACATTCGTTCAATTGGTATTCCTGTTATGTTCCCAGCGATTTGACAGCACATTTTCTTTTTCTTATGGCACTCATAACCGATATGAATGTGCTGTCACAAAGTTCCCGGCAATTTGTTAACCTCATGCATAATAATGCGGTGTAACCATCGAACGTATCAGACAAAACTCGCTGCTTTTTTGTGGGTAACCACTATTAGTGTTCCTTGGTCCTTGCTTTAATCGTGATTTAATTTCGTACGTGAGCCGTCATAGCGAACTCTCTACGTGTTCTACAGACCCTATATTTTTAGTGATATTGGCACGTATCTCTAAACGATATTGGCTACGACACGTGTAATGGCAATGTAGATGATTCGTTACGGTGTTTGCGAAAAATGTCAATCGAAATGTGTATATGTATACGGTGTGCTTTTTCGCGCAGGATCAGTATGTATGCAAGTGTGGCTAAAGAAATGTATTTCTTTCTAATTTTATCTGCTTGTTAAACATTTATATCTTTAGCAATTTATGAATCATTTCTAGATGTGTAATCAGAATTTGTTTTATATCTAAACCGTACTGGAAATAGATAACTAAAAGGAATTCTATGAAAATAATACGTCATTAAAATCATTTTTAATGAAAATTCTGATTTTTAAATACATACGTATAACTGCGTGACTATGCACGTCGTATGATTAATATATTTCTTTATTAGATATAATTTTCTACTTTACAAAAGTAGTTTTTAATTACCATTGTATATTATTTTTCTGTATATTAAATGACTGTTGATGGTGATGATTAATGAATGTTATACTCTATTTATAAATCGAGTGTAGTAGTATTCAAAGATCATTGCGAGTATTTACTGAACTAAAAATTATAACTAAATATTTTTTAACATGTTTTAAATACATCTGTAAGTTGGAAAGAAGATGTTATCCATGTGTTCAGAGAAGAGCCTCTTTTTCTCTGTATGTTTATTCTCTTGAATAAATCTCTAGTGGTTTTTTGTTTGCCGGCAAACTATGAAGGTCAAAGTGGCGGAAACAGTACACGACAAACTGGTTTCAGATGCAACCAACGGATCTTCAAAACTTGTTAAAATGAATCACCTTTTAAATTACTTTTTACGCTGTCCAATTGCTAATATTTATGTGGTATATTTTGAAAATTTTCGATAAAAAATGTATCAATACATGAATATCGGTTATCACAAAATATCGATAAGATAATATTGATTTTCATATATATTCAAGTGTCAGTCAATATCTTGACATTTATCAACATTTCCTTACTATATTTCTTCTTTTTAATGGATAACTTTTTATTGAGTTATTTTTATTCGGAACACTGGTTATCCTTTAAAATACCGTTGTATTTTTAGCAATGATATATATCTGTGACAATTTTACCGAGTGCAATGACCGATCGTAACAAAAATACGATCGTGTGAATCACCAATTGACAGTTATTTCGTAATGATACGGAAAGTATAGCGAACGTTTTCACGTGCGTGCATGCGACCCTCGATATTTAGATTCTCGACTGGTGTTAAATCAAAGAGATCGCGGGAAACGTATCATTTGCGTAATAGCGCGTAAATGAAATAGAACACTATGCGTACAGCGCCCCCATTATTTGAACGGCTGTCAACGGCTTGTCAATTGCTTCAAGTACCGTTGATAGTTAGAGCGGCACAAGATTCAGATTCCTTTGAAATGTAATTACGCATTTCGTATATTTTATCGATCGTACGTTTTTTTATATTATCATCATATACAGTAGTATAAACGTACACAAAATAAGACAAGTAAAAATGGCAAGAAATTGGCATCGAAAGTTATCTCAGCTGAAAAAGTAGGGTTAGCTCAGATGGGCGTCAATTTCCTTGCTCACTTTCTTAATCTAAAAACAAGCCACCGAAACGCATTAAGGCACGTTCCCGCATACTTAAGGCGACACAAAAGAGTGACTCGTAATTGACACGAATCCTTACTGCGTGCACATGAATACTTTCAAGCACGCGTCGCATTAAACCAAGCAGTGCACGCTGCGCATGCGCAGTGGCGGTATTTGTTCAAAAAAAGCCCGCGCGTTTTTTTCCAGTTTCACGGAATAAAACATTTAAATAATAGCTTGTTTATATATATATGGCATAACTAATATATAGCGTGCAATATAGGAATGAATATTCTATGGTAAACGTTCAGTGCCAAATTACTCTGCATGTAAAGGGTTAATCCCAACTAATGTTTTTTTTCTCTGTTTCAGCGCTGGTCAGAGCCGCACAAGAGTCGAGCCTGATGTCCATATGGTCGACAAGCACTGGACGCAATTCAGTGTTTGGTGCGGAGAGCGGAGCGGTACTCCCCTCCTCGCACTTGCCGATCCACGTACACGTGGCGCGCACACATCTGCGCAACGCTGACGGCCACTGCTTCCACAAGCGGTTCCACGACTGTCAGGTCGGTAGTCTCCCCTTGTCTCTTTGATCTCCTCGCGGTTCGTTTCCTCTTTATCTATTCGCGTGTCACGCAACATGGTACACCGTTGTCTCGTCATCTTTTCTCGTTATGCATGTTACACTCTTATACGTCTCTCATTTGTGATCAGTTGTTCAGTTACACTTTAGATTATCGCGATGATATCGTTGAACAAGCACGGTGGATGCCGGGTCATTTTGACCCGCCTGTAGGTGCCACGTACAGGCGGCGCTTATCGCTGAAGCATAAACATTGAAGAAGAGACTGTATGTTTTTCTACAGTATCCAGTGTCATTGCGAAGGAGGAACAAGTGCACATTTGCATTTAACTCGGGATATAATTATATATTACAAGTAATTATATATAATATATATACTATGACATTGCAGAAAGTGATAGCTTTGGTGAATTATTTAGAGAGAATGAGTAGTTGTATATACTAAACGTTCGATACATTTCTGTTTATAAATCACATTGATGCTTCTGTGTAGACGTAGTATATAGACCAGTCATAACGTGCAAGGTAGTCAGAAATCACACGATTTTCATAGCACTAAATAATATCTCTTAATGCATTAATTAACTATGTTTTAATTCGTATATAAGTTGTGTTACCGTTTAAAAATTGAATAACTTTTTTCTATTATTTTTTAAAATTTCTTCTTTCGAAATTTATTATGGAAAAATTCACGACGGAACAACATGTAGAAATAATTGAACTTTATCTTCAGAATCAATGCTTCAGAAGTTAAAAAAAAAAACAATCAATTTTTAAATGGTAAAGTGACTTATGATCCACCCTGTATAATTTATACCATTAATCGAAAGCGCCCAGCATCCACCATCCATATCATTTAACTATTTAATTACTATCCTTTAGGATTTGAAATATTTAGACACAAAATTAAATCGACTGCTCGGTGATTCGTAAAAAAGAATATATATACATCTATTGGTCATATCTTTGCCTTTCAATTGAACTCCAACGACAGGGATCAACTTGTTTGTCGCTCGCTTTTATTCAATAAATCAGCTCTCTGTATTATTGTTTAAGGCTCATTCCGTTGGTGATTTACGATCGAGAAAACCGTAAAGTAATTCAGATTGAGATTCATGAGGATCACCAATGATCGTTACCCGGAAGAGAGGCTCGCGTCATTGCTCATATCTGCAGAAACGAGATTGAATATCATTACCCGTCTCTTTCGTGGAATCCTTGAAAAAGCACTTGGATAAAATCAATCAGAATTGTTTAAACTTTGTTACCATCGGCAATTCCCATTGATAAGTAGGATAGAGTATAATCTCTATCCCACAATTATACCGACCGTATAATTGTCTTCGCGCGTTAACGATCCTTCCCCCTTTCCTTATTACTTATATAAAGCAGGCGTACAGGAAACATTAACACCTTAACGTTAGCTTAGAGCTTGGCACACGAAATACTATCATGTACAAACGGTGAACGCGTAATACGAGGCCCACTGAAATTGATTTATCGTGCATCCTGTGCACAAGGTTACCTGTAGTTTTAAAACGATACATATTCCACTGATTTAAATACCCAAGGTGTTCCATATACGAAGTTACCCGATTAAATAATCATTTTAAGGAAACAGAAAATATTTATTTGAAAAACTAAATTTAAAAAACAGAGTGTGAAAAAAACAAGCCCCGTTCATTTTTTGTTCTGTTTCAAGGTCATAAATTGTTCAGAAAACTATAGTAAATTTTTTCATCGATCGATCGAACAATATAACAGTTGTCTCTATTACATTCAATCGTTTGCCAGATTTGTCGTAGACACGTCAATCTATCGGTACTTGAATCTTCTCTGTTACGTTGTACCAGGCTTTCAATTAATTTTTCTTGTTATTTGTTTCGTTCAGCGCCCGTTGGTTTTTTATCCTACACGGGGCTTTTGGCAAGTTCTCCCGTTGGCACCAACGTTGCCATCTACTTTCGGTACGTGTCTTTCTTTCTTACGTGCTTGTACAGTTGAGCGCCAATTATCCGAACGCTGATTACTTCTCAATTTGCAATTATCTTTGGTGTATTTTTTAATAACGACTTTATCATACGGGTGTGTATCATGTTTCTGAAATGTCATATGAACACACTGTTCTTAGTGACGTGCCGTAAATATAGTTAGGATACTAACTTGTAAGTTCCATCGTCATTAAAATCAAATAAAATAAAATAAGAAATCCATTTGACACGATTTTCCACGAACCTACGTACTTTACATTGGTATAGCTTTCTAAAGATATTCCATATAATATTTTCAGCTGAACAGAAAAATGTTTAAACTTCGGCAATCTAAAAAACAAAAATATAGTCAATTATATATATATCTACTAACAAAATTACGTGAATTGGTAGCAATGCAATATGTATATACTAATTTTTCTCACGTTACCTTACGTGTACATGCGTTAGTTGTAACATGATATGTGAACATGTTGGAAATTGTTTTGTTGACTGACGTAGTAGCAAGCGTATTGCATTGCTCGATAATCTGAATCGGTGAAGTTTCAATTGAATCGTATAATTGGCCACTGTGCTCGCGAGAAGCCAAAGGCACTCTTAGCGTACCGTTTTCGATTAAGCATATTACATGATCAACCGCTTCCATTCTCTTCCCTCACACCTGTTAATAATTCGTCTGTATTGTTTTTCTTCTTCTTTCTGTTTTCTCTTTTGCCCACCAGTCGAAGATGTCGCAGTCAGGAGATGGCCTTCACACGCCGGGTTATCTTTCATGGAGAAAACTGCAACTCAGCCGAGCAAAACTTAAAGCTTCAAGCAAGACGTCTGCTCTACTTTCCGGTTTCGCCATGGTATACAGCTTCAATATTTTGTAACACGTCTCTTCTTCGTGTGATGATAAATTTGAACAATCCGTTGACATCACTGATAACAGACTTATATATCTATTAATTATGCATATTAATAAATCCGCAGTATGTACTAAATTCATAAACAAGTTTCTTACCGCAGGTCGCCATGGTGGAAGTACAACTGAACTCCGACACAAAAGTACCTTCGGAGATGTTAATCGCGTTTGCCGTCTGCACGACGCTACTGGTCGCGGTTCACATGCTAGCACTGATGATATCGACGTGTATATTGCCAAACATAGAGGCTGTCTGCAATCTGCATAGCATAAGCTTGGTACACGAATCGCCACACGAACGTTTGCACTGGTACATCGAGGTGGCATGGGCGTTTTCAACATTACTGGGACTGTTATTATTTCTACTAGAGATCGCCATTCTCTGTTGGGTGAAATTCTACGACTTCTCGCAAGTGGCCGCCTGGTCTGCCTGTATCGTGTTGATACCAGTGCTGATAATCTTCCTCGCGTTCGCGATACACTTTTACCGAAGCCTGGTCGCTCATAAGTACGAGGTCACAGTGTCCGGTATAAGAGAACTAGAGTTACTTAAGGAACAAATAGAGTCGACCGACGTCGAGGGTAGAAATGGTGTGAACTTGTTGCAAACCGGCGGTGTGACGCACGTGGTTTGAACAGTGAAATATGATCTGTGTTACTCTTCAAATGTGATATAACCTCTGTTGGAGCTAAATCTCTGCTAACGCATGGCAACAATTAATAGTTGAAGCAGCCGAAAAGAACGGATCAACAAAAATTAGGAATATTGAGAAGAACTGTATTTTAAAATGTACCCTAGAAGTGTTTGTCGTCTGTGGAAATCCTGATCGCGAGTCATATGGGAAAAGACTTGTTTCGTCTGTTCCTCACGAACCTTTCGATTCGCTTACATGCAATAAGTTTGATTGGAAATACGTTTCCTTCGACAAGCAACATAACCTACTATTCCCTATATATTTATCCATTTAACGGTGGATTGTACAATTACCAGAAAGTGAAAAATTCGATGAAAGTCTGGGCGTCTGAACGTAAAACATTCCCTTTTTCGCGTAGCGACTTAACCTATAAAAGTAAGGGTACGCTGCAAGATCTACCGTTTCGTGTATCTTAACTGTGGCACGAAGAACGATAGCTGTGAATGAAGATTTATATTTTTCGTTGAGTATGCGTGACTAGACCGCGTCGAATGTACTTATCTCTTTTGACAACGTGCTTGTTTTCGAACAGCATTGTTCGTACTTCTTTCAGTTTCGCCTGTTCATTCTTTATATCGTGTAACGCGTCCCGTGCTCAAGTGACTTTTCAGGTTTTTTACGTGGAGACGAAATAGTTCATTATCTAATTGCCTTTGTTACGTTTACACTTGGACGATTAAGTTACTGCCGTAACTGAAAAAGCTACAATTTGAACTGTACATAACTTTTATTATGAACAGACAGTTTATACGTACATGCGTCGACATAAAAATATATAAAATTGAGGCAATTTTGCTAGAATAAATTATACAAGTACATCGAATCCCCTTGTATTACATATTACTTTGAAGGACAAAAAAATATTTGTTTACCAAATGGATTCCAAACAGGGGCATGTATTTACGGACACACAAATATTCGCGATTATGTGCTTTCGTCCCTTTTTGCAAGAACATTCAGGGGAAATAGATTTCGTGATTTGATCGTGGTCAATAATTTCGTCTGTACCTTGAGATTTTTCAATATAAGCCAGTTCCAACTATGAACCAAGCAAGAATTGTTACATGCAAACAAACATTACAAAAACTTTAATAATTATGGTTATTTACCCGTGGAATGGGATATGGCGTAGGATAGAGTGCAGACTGCCGAAAATCTCCATCCGACATGGTCCCATTTATGAAATAATCGTTTCTCCAAAAACCGTATTGCTGTTGACCGCTGATTATGTGATAATACGTGCCGTAACCTTCTCTCTTACCTTTGACAAACTCACCTTCATATCTATTTCCATTTGCTGTAAAATACTTGCATCAAACATTTCGTTCACTCTTAACTTTTATATCGAAAAATAATATTGGAAATAATGTCGTTGCTTTTGTCATTTATAATTGTTATTTTATTTGATAAATTATCTTTGATTTCTACGCGAAGCATTGTTGAGATCTATTGGAAAACGGACAAGGAAAATTAGCTTAGAAACCTTTAACGAGCATTCCCAAGCCGTGGTAAAAATCATTTCTCCAAGAACCCTCATAGTAGTCCCCATTGCAGTGCCACATGCGACCATAACCATGTCGTTCATTTCGACAAAAGTCGCCTTCATACATACTACCATTTTCGAACCAGCTAAGTGCAAATCCTTGCTTTTTCCCATCTACCCATTCACCAATATAATGTTGGTGAATAGTATGGTCTTCCTTTGAAAATTTGCTCAAAACACCATAGCCATTTTTTTTATTGTTCAGCCAATTGCCTTCATATATCCATCCATCTCTATATAAATTTGAATTAAAGTCGTTTTGAAATATGTCAAGAATATCGAAGGGTATTTTAAAAATGAAAATAAACATTTGAAATTATTATTAGTTTGTCAAGACTACTTACGATAATTATTTTAATATAATTATTGTACCTGTCCAACATTTTACCCCTGCCTTCTTTCATATCGTTCTTCCATTCGCCTCTGTAATAACCCTTAAAAAGTTTTTTACTTTTTGGAGTAAAAATGGCGTGGCGCAAACCATTCCTTTTTGAAATTTCTGTTTTCCGTTTGACATATGAATCTTTAATAACTTTTAAGAAGGGCATCTTCAAACCTTCTTGAGATTAAATGTTTACTTTGGATTTTCAAAAACTTATCTTTAACTGTTTAATTTCACTTTACAAAATTATTTATTATTTTCTATCTACATAAAAGAAAACAAATACGAATAAAACTATTTTTATGAATGAAAATTTGTTTCACAAATTGCAAATTCAAATATAATTTGCAAAATATCCAAAACTAATTTTCATAACATCCGCATTTAAGCGGACTCATTCTAGACTATCAGTGCCATCTGTTAAGAAAAAGAAGTTTGTGTATTTAATTATCAAATGATTCGAAATATATAATATAAAATATTTAAATATTTTAATGTGCATATACAAAACGGTTTTCCTTTATTAATAACAGATGGGAAGTAATCAGTTTCCTTGATAAATTTTTCAAATACTTATTATCTATCAAACGGAATTTGCTAATAATTTGTATTTCCAAGACAGTTGTGAAGTCTATTAAATAAAAAAGATATTCAATAAGTGTTTATTATAAGCAAAAATAACTAAAAAATTACCAAAAAAATTAAAAGCGAAGTATTTAAAAAGTTTCATTTTCTTTGCATCCGTTAATAAAATTCGATAAAATCTACACCACGCTTACCTACACACGAATTAGAGCGCCCCTACGGTAAGGTGTTGTCGCTTTTGGGTAACT